TTCTGCAGTCAGACCGTTTTTCACCTAACAGCAGGGATAGGTGGAAGATTAACGCGGCTTTTTGAAAACCACCAGCTTTTGTACCAGAGGAGAAAATTCAGCCCTGGGTAACACTGCATTCACATACAGCCTGTAATTAATGCTGTGGTAGTCAGGTACAACTTCACATGGTTGAGTTCTGCAAAGCTTTACTTGTTTTTCAGGTCTATGGGGAGGTTTTTTTTGAAGAAATCCTGCCATGTTGGCAGTGGTGGCTAACATCTATTTCAGGTAGTCAGCTGGGTGACACTTTGGTCAGCAGCTAAATAAAGCTAGGTTTGGTTTTGTTTAGGGAATCGGTGGGCATAGCAGGTGCTGGGTCTGATAGATGTCTGTGATTCTCCTCAAGGCAAGGAGCCATTTGTGCTCCCGCTGTCGTTTTTGTAAGGATTGGCATTTTCACCTTTAGAGATGATAGGAAGGATGTCTGTCCCATCCACTGCGGGGTGTTGTCTGATGCGTTGTCAAAACGATTAAATACTTGTAAATACTTGTTTCTTCTTAAAATAAAAGCTGCAATAGGTTTGGGTTTTGTTGTTCTGAGATGATCACATGTGCATACTGTTCCTCAACACATGGCTTTGATGCTTCTTTCTATAATTAATAGTGACTGAGCTGCCTGACAACCCTGGCTGACATGGCTGGATTTCAGGTGTTTTCATTCAGTGGGGCTAAAATATCCCTGATACCTCATTTGCTTTTCTTTTGAGTTGTATCACTTTGTTTTATCCATCTTATCAACCTTACCTTGCCTGTTATATTTAGAAAAACTTGAAAATGAATCAGATGAAGATCCAGAGAAAAAGAGGGGAGAAGCCCAGGCGCTTGTAGCCACAAGGCTCTGGAGTGAGCAGAATTTGTGGACTGCTGGAAGATTTACACCTGTATTTGTTAACCAGGTTCACTATAGGCAGATGTCCTTCATAGTTCTAAGCCTTCATGGGTGCTTAGAGAACATACGCCTGGGCTTTGATCACAGCTTATGATTTTTGTTTTTCTATGCAGACCAACTGTGAATGGTTATAACAACGTGGTTATGTTTGTGTAACATAACAGACTTCTTGTAAATCCTGGGCATAAATTTGGATTTCCATTTAAAGCTGTATATAATGGTAACTTCTGTATCCTTCTTTCTGGGAGGCAGGAGAAAGGGGAGTGTCATTGCTGTCCCCTTTCCCAATTTAGGGACACCAGGTAAATCACTTATTATTATGGATTTTTTTCCTTATTTTTTCCTTTAAAAAAATTAAATGTTCATAATTCTGTTTAATTTGTTCTATTATAATAATGACCAGATTCTGTTATTTTTAGGAAGCAAGAATCTTCTAGATTTAGTACCTGCAAATATTTAGTTCTTCAGTGATAAGATAAACATAAAATATTTTAGAAATACTCTGAAGTTAATATTTAGCTAAAATCCCATTATAAAATAACAGCAAATTATACATTATAAGACTGGAGGTGTTTTCAAAATGCATAAGTAAAGCAAAAGCAACAGTTCTGTGGATTTTAGAGTGTTTCTCTTTGCTTTTGTTTTGTTGGCTATTTTTAGGGGATATCTATCTAGTGCTTTTGGAAGCACTGCCTGATCTGTCATACTGCTGTGGTTCTCTACAGTGAACTGATGCTGATTTTAATTTTTATCTGTGTAATAACCTTTTAGGGAATCGATTATATTTACTTTGGTCACTTGTTTTCCAAGCCTTGCCATATGTTTCATGTCATTTATTTTATTATCATTGCTAGCAGTAAAAACATCTATATTTCAGTCCAGAAACCACCCTAGTTTTCTTTCAAATCACTTCAGGTGGCACTTGGCCGTTGCTATGTCTTTGGAAAGTATTGGAAAGTGTTGTTTTGTTATTCACCTGGACTCAATGGCCTGCCACATGGCAGCTTGTGATAATCCTTGAACATCAACAACCAGCTCTGCCTTGGCAATGTCAGATTGTATCTCTCACTTGCTCATAAGGCAAATACGATTTTGAAACAGTAGGTTTCATTTAATGAAGCATCAAATTTTGTATCTTTGCGTGTGTACTGACCTTTAAGCTATTACTGAAGACCTTTACTCTTGAGCATGTGCAAACTTGCAGTGCTGAAACAAAAAAAGAAACAAATCTAAGAAGCCTGACCAGGTCTCTCTGGATGGCAGCACGACTCCCTGACCTATCAGTTATTTCTCCTGTTTTGTGCCATCAGCAGACATGCTGAGGGTGCTGCCACATCACCCAGGTTAGTTATGAAGTTGTTGAACAGGACCGGACCCAATAAAGACCCTTGGGTCAGTATGGATCCATTTCCTTCGCTGCTGGCCTCCAGCCAGACTTTGCATCACTGACCACCACTCTGGGTGCAACCATTCAGCCAGTTTTCCATCCACCTCACTGTCTGCTCTTCCAGCACATACGTCAACAGCTTCTCTGTGAGAATCTTAATGGGGGGCAATGTCCAAAGCATTACTGAAATTCAAGTATACAATACCCACTGCTCTTCAGTTGTTTGCCAAGACAGTTCATTTTATTGTAGAAGGTTAGTTAGTAATTGAAGTTGCAAGGCATTTAAGCAATACCATAGCCAACCGTAAGTAACCGTAACACTGTCTTGTATGTTTTAGTATTCCATAAACGAGTAGCATCATTGCCTCAGTCTGCCTCAGCACCCTCACTCAGAGGGGGTGAGGCCCTGGCACAGCTGCCCAGAGAGCTGTGGGTGCCCCATCCCTGCAGCTGCTCAAAGCCAGGTTGGGTGGGCCCTGGGCAGCCTGAGGTGGTGGGGGGCAGCCAGCCCATGGCAGGGGTTGGGCGGGTGGGCTGTGAGTCTCCTCCAACTCAAGCCTTCTATGATTCTCTGACTGCAACTTGGTTTAAACCATTTGTTTTCGCTACAGATATTGTCAGCCCACTTCTGGGCATATTTTGTGAAACACCTGGGGTTAGAGATGTGGAATTATGAAGATTTAGTAATTTTTCAACTGCAGCTTTTCTGCAAAAGAAAGTCTGCATGTTTTGTTAAGAACGTAGTGTAGAAGTGTTACAAGGTAAAACATTCTGAGGTAGATACTGGTGACTGTTTTTGTTTGTCTGATGGGATGTGCCCAACCCATTGATGTCCCACAGAATCATAGGACCATGTATGGCATGGTTCCTTGACCTACGTGGTGAGCCCTGCTGCTGTGGTGGGCCCTGTGAGGTAGGAAAGCTGCAGTTGGTGTCATGTGTGAAATTCTGTTTGTTTTAGGCAATATACAGTGAATAGACTGCTGTTAGTAAATATATCATGTTGCCATTGAGGAGAAAATGAGATTTTCTTAGAGAAAACAACAATATTTAAATTGTTCTTGTTTTATTTATATTTATTTATTTTGTGTAGTATCTTTGGGTGGGTTCCAACCCAAAACATTCTGTTATTTTTGTTGGGGATTATTTAGTCAGGAAATCTTAAAAAAAGAAAAAAAAAAAAAAAGAAAAAAAAAGGCTGGTAACACTGAAAATCATGTTGAATTTTAGCTAATGAAATGGCTGGGAGTTACATCTGAGCAGACCAGTCATCACTCATGTGAAACCTGTGCAATTTCTGTCATGTAGAGGAAGCAGCTTTTCTTACAATATCTCAAGAAGTTACTTTCTAACTTGTTGTGCAGTGTATAATGCTCCTGATATCTGTGGTCCACTTCTTAACTGTGTCAACTTTTTTCCTTGCTGAAATAGTTCAATAGTATAAAGAATCAATTGTTGCTTAATTTTGTTTCTTTTCTATTATGCACATTTTTGTGCCATTCAGCCACTCAATTTGATATTTTCTGGATTATTAAAATGGATGAAAACAGAAAAATGCTATTTATTGCTAAAGCAGGCAACCTAAAGCTTTAAACAAGCAAGCAAACGTGGATTTACACCGCTTCTGATGCACGGCATGTGAGATTGGAAATGGTTCTCTGTCCTGAAAGCTGGACATCTTAAAATATTGTGTAGTTTAAATCTAAAGCAGTTCTTAAAGGTGAACCTGCAAGTGCTCTTTATGGCAAAAACAGGTATCACTTTCAGCTTGAAGAATAGTTTCTAAGACTTCAGATTTCATTATGTAAACACTTGTGCTAAAATATTAGTTTGAGAAAGAAAGGAAAAGCGTGTCCCAGACTCCTCCTGGAGTGCCCCTCACTGTGTCACCTTCATACAGTCCTAGCTCTCATTTTCCATGTGATACAAGAAAATTTTCAGTTTAATTGGATTTTGATTGTACAGCATAGTCTGCTGTAGGGACTGAACATCAGACTGGTGTGCTTGATTTCATTATTGTGAATGCTTCGTGATCTGTGTGGAAATAGTCAGCATTATACCTCTTACTAATAGGAGGAAAAAGACCCTGCCCTTAAAATGATATGTGAAATCAAATTTTTAATACTTACAAAAGTTGCCTTTGTGTGTATTTTTTATACTTGCAAGGATCAGCTTTAACAGGAGGCGTAAAATCATACGGTTCCCTTTTCAATCAGATGTGTTTTAATGGGTATATCTGAAAATTAATATTCTTTTCCAGTGTCTGTGGTATAATGTACAGGAGAACAATCAATGGAGATGATCAATGTATAATTTGCTTAATTTGCCAAATTCGCATACTGGTACAGTCAAAAATTCACTTTGAACTAAAAATAATAGATTCATTTTACAGAACTTCTGTTCTTCACAGCAGCATTTGCATTACAAATGCCAAGTCTCATTCATGTCAGTAAATAAGATAATGGTGATAGCAGTTGTAATTTAGTACTGTATGCTTGGAAAAAAATCTTCATGGTTCTGTAGAATAAAACTTACAGAAGAAGTCAGAATGGAGGGGTACTGACACGTGCAAATTGTGAAATACTCACTTGAAATTACTGAGAATTAAAATCTAATTAAAAATTGCTGACTCAGTGGAGAAACGTTTTTAATTAAAATGCTTTTTGTTTTTTACCCTGTCAGGTATTGCTTTGTTTTTGCTTTGGGATACCTCACTGTGTGCCAAATTACTAGAGTCTATATCTTTGATTATGGACAGTATTCTGCTGATTTTTCTGGGTAAGGACAAAAAAAAATCTCTCCATCTTATCTTCCTGTGTGATGCTGCATCTTTGTTGTTTATTTTTTCCTTTCCCACCCACGGCAATGTGATGAAAGCTGAATTGTGCCTTACATACTTGTGTATGTCTGTAACCTGATGCCATGCTATGAGTTAAATCTGAATGTTTTAAGGGATTTAGCTTTTAGCTTTTCTCTCTTGTGAGTTTTATTCTGTGTTCCAGAAAGGAAAGGCCAAGGAAAGAGGCACCCTTAGAACTAGAAAACTATGCCTGTTTATGTTCTCTTTTTATATGAGGAGCTTAATCTATATTTGGTTGGAGCCATATGTGAGCAAAATATAATAAAAAAGGTGAGGCAAAAATGAAAAATATTGGTGATTCTTGTCAGTACTACAGACAGAAACGAAGCACATCATTTCCTATGACTGTTTGCTCCTGGTAGGCCTTTGATCTAAAGGAGCATTTTAGGAAAAAAAAAAAGAGGTGTGTGTGCAAGTCTGTTTAAAAACAGCAACAGCAGAAGCATTAAATACTTCTCAGGAATAGTGGGAATGGCATTGGTGTTTGTAGTTCAGTATTACTGTACTGTGTAGCAGAGTTGTGTTTGCCTTGTCACTTCTCAGTCTTCATTGGTAAGAGCCCCAAAACTACCTGGTAGGCTGAAGCCTGTAGCTTTCACAGTTAAGTTCATCCTTCCTGTTCTCATCAGAGGAGATCTAACCAGTGCAGACAGCAGAGCCTGGAGGGAACTTCAGCTGACCCTCCACTGAGTGTCTACCTTGATGTGAACTGGATCACTTGCCCCTGACTGTCTTGTCTAGATTTCTGCTGACTATAATGAGAGATTGTAACAAAGATATATGCATACAGATGCACAAAGCTAGATTTACAGATGCTGAACTGAATTTCACCATTAAGAGTGGAATCATGATTCAAATGCTGTCCTTTACAGATCACTTAAGGACCAAACGGTACAGCCTTGCATCAACCAAAGCTCTGGGCTCACATGGGAAGCAATGTAATTGTATTTGCCTGTTATTGACCTAAAACTATTAATAGTAGCCTGAGCACACCGTTCTTCAAATGTGACTGTATTGCTCTGATAGCAGCTGTCTTTGATGTTAGCTCCGATTTCTGCCAGGTCTAAACGTGTCCAGAGCTTCACGAAGGCTGTGCTCTGGATAGAGCTGCTCTGTTCAAACGACCCTTTCATGCCTGCAAGCTTGGTGTATGCATATTGTGTTAAATCTCCAGCATAAACTGCATCTGCTCCCTTGAGACCTGAGACAGGACTTGTTTCCAAAACAGGAGAACTGCATGCTGCAATTTGAACTGAAAGAGGCTATTTTCCGTCAGTTTTCCCTATTTGCAGAGAAAGAGGTTGAACTCAAAATTAACAAAAATGCCCTAACCAGCTGGTGAATCCCAGCACCAGCAGTTCTTTCTTGGTACCAAAGAAGCTGGCACAGCTTCATACAGAGGTTAGCCTTGAAAGAGCTTTGAATGAATTTAGATATTTCTCGTAACCCATCTTGCCCATCTGAAGTGTCCAAGCCCAGACAATCTGCCAATGAAATCTGACCTCGTGTTGGAGGTGCCATTGTGATTCTGGCTTCAGTACTAACAGACCCCAGCTTCCTGCAAGCCTTCCACAGCTTGCTTGCCCTTCTGCCAGTAGCTACAAGGGAAATGAAAACTGATATTCTGCCACACTGTTCCAGAAAGGGCTCTTCCTCTTTTAGTCTCTAGACTGTTGCTCCTCAGTCACATCTCTGAAGGTACTGGAAGAGCCATTTTAGAAAGAAAAAATATCAATAGCTGCTATGATAACAATGACATGTGTCAGCTAGAATTATTGTAAGGTCTGTCTGAGCTTCTCCTGGGCTCCATCCATTCACATATCCATTTACAGAAGGAAAACCTGTTTTGTTCAGAATCAGCTGGAGATCTGTGACAGCACCAGGCGACTCTTCAGCTCAGATGCTGAAAAGAGACTAGAGAGAATATTCCACAATGTCTGTTCTCATTTATTTTTTCCCTTGTTGATCCTCCCCTGTCACTCAAGCCTTGATAACAGGATTTTTGGGGACGCTGGCAATACAGGGGGTTAGTTTTTCCCTGATTGCATTTGAGAACTGAAAATACATTGTGCTTTGAAATAACTTGAAACGTAAAAAATATCATTTGGCAGGCTGAACCATCTGGGATAAGACTTGTCAGTAGAGGAGGACTTGATGGCTACAGGGTGATCATTTTTCTCTGTTTTTGTTATTGCGTTTCCAGCTCACGTACTACTAAGCAAATAAAATATATTTAAGAACTGGTTTCTGGTTGAATTCTGGTCATGCTCGTTTTATGTAGTCTTCCCTACCCCTGTTAGGGGTTAGAAGTGCAGTTGGAAACTTAGGTACAGTGGAGATGGTACCATTTCTTAGTGAACTTTTCTGTTTTCCAGAGCAGTTAAAGCTGAGTTACATACCCAGTCAAGAATCTCTTGGACAGTTTATGATCCAATAAAATGTAGGAAATTCAATATGAACTGAATTCCATTGGAGTCAGCATAATTGTGCTAGGTTTTAGTTTTAACACTTATGTTTACTTGAAGCACATAATAATTGTAGATGGAAAAATTAAGCATAGGTCCAGCTGTTAGTAGAAATAGTGAAAAATGCTCTGAGTATCTAAATAAGTAATGCTGCTGCTCAACTTTGGTATTCTTATTGTCCTTTGTTTACTGCTGCTGTAATTCATAATGCATATAGTTGTTCATGCTGCCCTTTTTCCCTTACTCTTCCCACTAAGAGAAAAGAAAATAAACAGTGCTATTAGAAAGTAAATGTGGAGCACTGGCTGTGTTTGTGGGACCTTCTGCAGCAATAAAAGGCATGGTTTATCAAATACAGTATCTAAGGAGTAAATTATTTTCATAGCTTGAAAATGGTGTCATGTTTTGAGCTCGGAAAACATACCTTGTATAGGAAGTCTTCCACTAGAGAGTAATTAACCTGGCTATTTGTGTAACATTTTCCTTGATGTTTATATGTCAAAGAAAATCTGATTTTTTTTCTAAACTGTTCTTTCTTCCTTTCTTGTAACAGTCCAATGATGATAATTACACAGAAGATCACTAGTTTGGCATTTGAGATTCATGATGGTAAGACTTCTTTAAGCTGTCTTAAATTTTCCTTTTTTTTTTCCTTTTTTTTTTTCCTAAATCCAACTGACATTCTTGTGCTGGGCTGTAGATTCTGAGCATTAGCCAAATAATTTCAAAACTCAGAGGTCACTGTTGTTGAGAGATTGGTGGTAGCAGTACACTGTTATCTCAGTTGCTGAGCACCTGTTGCTTTAAACAACATAAATTCTATGTGTGTACAGGCTTTAATGCTGTTGTTAATTGTTTGAATTCTGGTAAGCCTAGAGAAGCCTGCAGGCTGTAACGTTCACAGATATGAAAAGCCTGGAAAGCACTTCTTGTATGAATACTTGAATGAATGAAAATTAATGAGCAATGCTAGATATGTCTAGCTGTTGTCTAAAATGGTGGAAAAGCTGATGTCAAACTTCAGAGAAAACATATTTGCAAGTATTAGTTTTGCAAGCTATAATCAGAGTACAGAGTGCCCAGGTTAGAGGAAACAGCTTATTCTGAAGCAGTAATAATTCTATTATCAAAAGTAAATGCTTCCTCCTATTATTTTGCTAAAGGAATGAGCTATTCCAGATTTCCAGATACCTGCACAAGTAGTGGAGTTGAGTTATAGGACAAGCATGGGAGTGTTTCTGATGGTCTTGAAACAAATGTTTCATTTAGTCAGCTTTGTTCTTTAACTATGAACTGCACAAGATTTTTTTACCTACTTAGAATCATAGAATCATAGAATTGCTCAGGTTGGAAAAGACCTTAAAGATCATCAAGTCCAACCATGACCTAACCGTACTACCCTACCTCTCACAACCCTCTGCTAAATCATGTCCCTGAGCACCACATCCAAATGGTTTTAAAACACATCCAGGGATGGTGATTCAACCACCTCCCTGGGGAGCCTATTCCAGTGCTTAACAACCCTTTCTGTAAAGAAGTGTTTCCTGATATCCAATCTAAACTTCCCCTGGCACAACTTATGGCCATTACACCTTGTCCTGTCACCTGTCACCAGTGAGAAGAGACCAGCCCCACTCTCGCTGTAAGCACCTTTCAGATACTGGGAGAGATCAATAAGGTTTCCCCTCAGCCTCCTTTTCCCCAGTTTATCAGCCCCCGTTCCTTCAGTCTCTCCTTGCAGACCATATTCTCCAAGCCCTTCCCAAGCCTTGTTGCTCTTCTTTGGACCTGCTTCAGCACCTCAATGTCCTTTCTGTTCTGAGGTGTCCTTAAATTAACACATACCACCTGTATTTTACTAGAAAGTTCAGATTATTTGAAGTCTGAATTTGTTTGAGATAAGTTGAATTCTGTGTATCTATCATGAAATTTTTTTCCCTACTGATTCCACATCAGAGATCCTTTAGAATCTCTGTCAGCTTGTGGGAATACAGTGGAAAGCTCTCTCTCTGGTTGCATTTGCAGTTATCAGAGTTCTTGAGTTGGATGATCACAGCTAAGAGCACAGTGGCAGCATGATGAGACCAGTGTAAATTCAGGAGCATCTTTGAGTCTTATCTCAGGAGATGATTAAAAAACATGTACAAGGGAGACTGAGGTTGTATTAAATCAATGATTTTTAAGCATGCACAGCCTGCAAGGGATCTGTCAAGAGAAAACAATGAAAAGAAGCCTGCTGCCAATGGGCTTTTGTTCACTATACAAAGATCCTTGCTTCCACTGGAAAATATTTTAAGAGACGTACGGCTTAACGAGGAGGTAATGTTGAAAATCACTGTACAGATTAATTAATGGCAATCTGAGCCTTTAGCCACAGCTTGGCTAAATTCATCACCAATTACTTTTTGGGTTTTTTTTTTTGCCCTCTCCTTGATTTTTACCAGTATATCTAAGGAAAAGTAATGAAAATAAAAAATCAGACGTTGCTGCATTGGAAGATCTTAGTAAATGTCGGGGCTGTAGCTGTGGTTAGGTTGGTTTTGTGGTAAAGGCAAGTCTCCTGCACTTGATCTTTTCCTGGCAGCCTGCTCACTGTGCTCAGCTGGTTTCAGTATTACATTTGAAGATCCTGGAAAGAATTGGGTGTAAGGGCACTCACACTGCATAATAAAGACTCTGTCTGCTCTTAGTGAATATCCTTGATCCCAAGTTGAACACCAGCACTTCTGTAAATAAATAGTTCTGGAAGTTACAATTCTGTGCATTTATTGTGGACTTTTACAAGAGGAAAATTGTATGCAAGTTTCATAGGAACAATTTGGGTTTGATCTGTAATGCTAGCTTTTCAGAAGGTTGCATGGGTCAGAAATTTACACCTACATAAATTTAGTCTGTGCCTTTTGTGTTTTAAAGATAAGCCCTTGGTAATTCTTGTCTTCTTACATGTTCTTGCTACTTAAATGAACACTAACAAAATTAAATAGTATGTTATATTTGTATTTCTTGCTGACTATCACACATATTTTAAAGGCAGAGAAGTTTTTGTTCAGAGAGAAGAGTTCAGAGACTGCTTTTGTCCATATTCATTCTTTCTGGCAAGATTTAGATTTATTTGTGTAATGTTAGGCTGCTGACAGAGTTAAAGGGATAAAAAAAGGAACTTTTCTGAATGAAGTACCTCTTCATCGAATTTAAAACTGGCATGTTTTGGAGAAGGAAAGGTGCACTGCAGCTATTCCAGAAATAGGCTGATTGGCTGCAGTTAGTTTCAGAAAGCTAAAAATGAAGAATTCTACTGGCATGAGAAATTTCCAGCTAGCAGATGCTGTTAAATAGAGAAGTTTTTGCAATTACAGGATGCAAAAAGTTGATCAAAGGAGAAAGATACAGTCACTGCTTAACTCTTCTATTTTGAGATGGCAACAATATATTTTTTTGATAGAAGTTGGTTTAACAAAGTTTAATGATAAGTAAGATAGCTGTTTAACAAGCTTTGATGGCAAGGTACACTTGGTTATTCTCTGCATAGAGGACAGGATCAAAGGAAATCATCCAGAAGCCCTTTTTGTTGAGTCATGAGGTTCTGAGTGGACCCCCTTGCTTTCCGAACTCCTCCTCAGAGGAGCCAGGGTGCAGCAGGACTCAGTCTCAGTCCCAGCCTAACAATGACAGACCAGCTTGGGCTGGAGGATGCCATCACACACATGGAGCTCCCCCTCTTTTGCTCACAACCCACATAGCTGCAGATGAGTATCACTCATTTTACTGCAATTCTGCAGGAGCTGGGAGATCTTTACAGGAAGGAAGGACCCGTATCAACATCTAATCTCACTAACCTGTATATGCTTTGACAGCTTGTTTTTAATGCCAGTGCTTAATGAGTCTTAAATAAAGAGTCTCTTCAATTGTTCACATTCATAACCCAAGGAAGTTCTGGAGCTCATAACATACTTATTTTTAAAGCACCAAGAGATTCGGTCACCAAAATCTGGGAATATTAGGCTGGATATTTGCTATTTAAATGGGCAAACATGTTCATGGCTTCTTCAACCTCATTTCTCTAACTCAAACTAAATTGAAGATTAAAAAAACAAAAGCCATAAACAGTCACTTCTTATATGTAACAGTTGTGTAGTAAGGCAGATGTAATTCTTCCAAATTTCCTCCATATTGCTGTGTTGCATTTGTCCAGAAAACTGGCTGGACACAGGTAAGAAACCAGAAGCATAATGCTCTTCTGTCAGCTTCTTGGCTCCTGGAGGCTTATTTCTCACGTGCTTTCTGACCACCAGAAAATAAACTTTGCTGTTCCTTTAGACACCCTTCTGCTATCACTCATGCCTTGGTTTTCAACTCTGTAGTTGCTGATGCTTAAGTGCACTGTTTCAGGAACACAGCTTGCTTTTCTGTATTATGTCCTGATGGATCTGGCGCCCTCCATTTTTAAAAGCAATAGAGCAGACATTGATACTGATCTGTTAAGCAGCACTGCATTTACTGTGAGAGCTAAAAGGAGATAGAGTACACTGAATATGCAGCTGATAAGGTATTTCTGTTTTATTTTATTTGAATTTTTTTAAGCTCTGCCTTTTCTTTTTCAATCATGCATCAAGAGATATAGTTATGTGCTAGTCTTACAGCAGTGTTTTGGGTCTCCCACATTTATTTTGCTCCAGCAGCTGCATATGAGGACAACAGGAGGATTGTTTGATGCTGTTTCTCCTCATATTGCTTTTGTACTACTGTAGAGTGTTATAGATTTGCAAATTGGCTATTAAAGTTTATTTTCCTCCCAAAATTGTGGAAGTATATTCTTTGTTCCATGTAGTCCCTCAGGAGATGATATCTTAATGAGTGGATGAAACACACAGGAAAAAGAGATAAGGAAGAAGAAAAGTAATACTGGAGAAACTTACATGTTACTATGTTAGTTGCAGTGGTCTTAATTATCTTTTGCTATCACCTTCTTACCGTCAAAGCAGTGCACCACACACTTGGGGTGGTTATTAAGCAAAGTAATTTGAAAGAAAAAAAGGCAAATTTCATGTTCATTCACATCTAATGAGCAATCCCATCCAAATTGCAGTACCTGCTATTCTGATAGCAGTGCTGGCTTTATTAGCTGTGCTCAGATAACATAATGCTACAAAAGTATTGAGGAATGCTTCATGCTTAGATTGATGCAAACATTCCATCTTGATTTTCAGTTAACTTGATGCTTTGCCTTCTCCTTTTCTCAAAGGCAAACACTTCCCATATTCAGCAGGAATGCTGTGGTGGTGTGGTGTTTCTTTATTTGTTGTTGTTGTTTTGATTGGTTAATTTTAATTGCAATGCTTTCTTCAGGAGTCTTAGAGCTTCTCTCTGTCAGTTGCCTCTTGGTCTATATTTTGTACACCCTTTTTTAAAGTGCTCCCTCTTGTGTCAGTGACAGCATAGCTATTGTAGCTGCTACCGAATCACTTTAATTACTCTACATGCCATTAAAGTTTTATGGAATTACATTGTATTTCTCAGCTCCTAAGACTTGTATTGTTTGGGGCCCATGTTTGATTATGTCAAAATTTCTGATTTTTTTTTGCTTTTTTTTTGTAATTTCTCTGCAATTTTACTTAGCTGATACCCGTGTCTATTTGCTGCCAGCGTGCTGGTAACAACTAAAACTGTTATGGAAAGTCTGTGTCTTCTTCAGGCCTTCACGTATTTCATTAACAGAGTGCATTTAAACTCAGGTGATCCACTTCTGAACCTCAAATCTTGCTGTGGTTTCAACAGGGCTTGTGATACGATCTTCATGCTTAAGTATTCTTAGTTAATATCATATTTATTTAAGCATTATAAATGAGTCACTTAATAGCCAGTTTTTCATGCAAATGTAAAAGTGGGTAGACTCAAGCAGATTAACTACTAAGCTGGGTTAATACCAAGATATAATGGTAAATACAGTGCTGTTGTAGTGAGAAAGCCTGATAGTACCATAACAGCCTTTAATAAAAACTGTGGGGAAGGATATTGGTATATACCCAAAGATGGTGATTTACCTTTATGGTTTGATCTCCTGAAGAGGAATGAACAGATGCAACTTCCTCATGATCTAGATCAATGGAGATAATTTTTGTTAGCAGCGATTTACAAAATTCTTGTGCACAGAAGGAACGCAGGCTTATTTCTTTACAGATGAGAAAACTGAGTTGTAGCTGCTGAAAGGCCAGATAATTTCACTTCTCTCACAAATGTTCGATAAAACCCATTTTCTCTAATCCCCACTGTGTGATTTGGTAGCAACTAGAAGATGCAACCATTGCAGAAGTATGCTGCTTTAGAACAGGAGAAAACATTTCTCATCATCCCTAGAGGAAAGTTAGAAAAATTCATAAATTCCCTACAGTGGCATACTGATGAAATGAGGTGTCTTTATCTCCAGTGTGTAGCAGGTAGGGAACAGCTGTGATCTGGGGCCTCTGTCCCCATGGGCAAATACACTGCCTCAAAAGCACTGAACGCGTTTATCTTAGTTTAGATAAGGTTGGACTTGATGATTCTTCAAAGTCCTCTCCCTGAAGAGGTTTTAAAAGCATCTTTTCCCCTTTTCCATGTGTATTTTCTATCAATTAAAAGAAGTCTGCAGTGCCTTTCTGAAAGCTTGCAAGAGTGTGACACAGGCACTGAGAAGATGTGAAAAAGCATTAGGGGAAAGGCACCGACCTCTGAGAGGCTGGTGGTTGGAGAGAAAAAATCATGGAGGCTTCCTTGTACACTGCATGCTTGAGACAGGCGTATTGCCTGCCACATTATGTAGGGGGAAAGCAACTCCACACATACGTATATGGACATACTTGAACCTATTTTAAATATGCCAACTCCTTAACCTCTAGCTCTCCAAAAGCACAGGTCATATTTCACTGATTAGATTCTTCTATTTGAGTTTTTTCCCTTATTTTGGAACACATCAGTGGCGTGAAATCTTTTATTAGGCTGATCACCCGTCTTTAGTCCCTCCTTGTTCAAGTTAATTTGGACACACTTGGTCACTGCTTCCTCCTGACTCAAGGAAAAAGCTATCTATCAGGATTTAGTACCTGAGACCTGTTATGTTGTGGCCTTAAAGGTTAAAGTACTTTTCAAAAAGCTTCTCCCACTATTTTTAAAACACTTTTAACTGTAGCTAAAACTTGGGCTGTAGTACTGAGAAGATAGGACAGTGTAATGGAGGGGAAGAGAAAATGCCTGAAGTCATGGGCCATGCTTTGTCCTTCAGTTTCTTTCCTTGGGTCTGACTGAAGGAGGTTGACTTTCGGCTGTGAAGATGAGGAATGAAGAAGGTATTCTTCAGGTTGTAGGAGATACCCATTTGCTGTATCCATCTCAGCTTGAAAGACAAATGCAGTTTTTAAGACCTAAGTATCTGTATGTCATAGTTCCTAGAATCAAATGAAGACAACAGGCTATCTTCCCTTCAGATAAGAAGCATTTCCAAGAGTCATAGAATTGAGTGAGGTTTGATATCACTTCCTCATCTTCCCCCTCCCCCTCCCCTTTTTTTTTTCTTTGTGTGTGTCTCAAACTTGACTGATTTAGATATCTAACTAGAAAACAGACTCCATTTGAAACTTTCCTTATGCTTAGATCAAATGTAAATGTAGATCAATGTAAATGTAAATGTAGATCAAAAGGGCTCCTTTCCATGGATTTAATGGCATCAAGGGGCAAGCTTTGAAGGCAATCTTTCTGTGAGTGAAGGAGGATCTTTCCTTCTATATAGTCCGTATAATCACTTATTTTTACAGTGTGTTGTAATATCTGTGTTACCTCTACACTTTCATTAAACTGGGATGGAGACTGGCTTTTGGGTTTAGGAACCGCTAGGAAGGAATGTAATTGAAGAGGGATTCCATAAGCTTAATTTCCCTTAGGAAGTTATGTATTATAAAATAAGTGAATGCTTGCAGTCACTAAGGAAACTTGCCGATGTGAACAGCAGAGATGGATGCACATGCTGCTGTCTGAGCTAGAGGCAGACCTGCAGGAGGAGCTGAAGCAGCCATTTCGGCAGGCGCTGCTGGCTGCTCTAAACCAGGCCTGCCTGAAGGAAGGAGCTCAGCTTCTTCTGTGCCCCCACCCTTGGACTTGTATATTTTGTAATTATTTCAAGTGTTGAAGGTTCTACTCACTTCTACAGCAATATGAATTCTGCAAATTGCTTTTCAGGAGTAGGCCAGCAAAGTGCTGGGTACTACAAGAACATAAATCCAGCCTTGCTGCTGAATGTAGCCTTGGCCTGCCCCTGGCTGCTGGCAGGGCTCCGGGTTCTGGGCAGGGACTCTTGCCTGTTGTGCCTGATTCACTGGACCTTGTTTATAGTCCTTACTTACAGCACGGAGGTACCTTTTAAAGGTCTGCACTGGGCTTTGAGCAGCATAAATCTGTATTAGGCTGTGTTCATATTACATATCGGAGGTGTATGACCCTGGGTTACTGCTGTGTTAATGGGGATTGGATTTTAACTTCCCAGACAGGGAGTAAAGGGTTCTGAAACCTGCAGACTTTGAAACCTGAAGAAATGTAAGGGAACTGTGTTTTTCACCACTTATTACAAGCCTTCTTAATGCAATCATGAAATCCATGTGGTTTCAGGTTTGGACACTGTTGGATATAGCTGAGGACATGTAAGTTTGTAATTTTGTCAACAGTAAGAAATGATTGATCCAATTCCAACTAAAATATTATGTGACATAATACTTCTGAAGTTACTTGAGGACATAAAGATTATACTGCAGCATGAGGGTTGCTCTACTGAGTAAAGCCAGTACTAATTAATAAGTGTTGTTTAAGCTTTTCTTTATTTTTCCTTTTCTCTGTGCTCTTTTCTAGGTATGTTTCGAAAAAATGAAGATTTGACACCATCACAGAGGTGTTTGGCTGTAAGGTAGGGTTTCAGTGATCTGAGAGTCTGGTTTTGGTGGCAGGAAGAAGCTGATGGTTTGTGTGCTTTATTAATGCTGTGCAGAAATGCAACAGCTCCTATTCAGGATTGAGCGTTTACAAACTTGGCTAAAACAGATCCATGCATTTTATGTTTGTAACTTAATTACAGGCATCTATTCTGCAAAATATCACTATGGAATATTTTTCTACAGTGTAAAAGCTAAGTTCTATGCATCATATGCAAATTACATCCAGACAGGAGACTAGTTAACATTCAGTACACATATAAAGTAGTTGGCAAAGGAATACTTGTTTCTGTTTTTCAGCATTTAACTTACCTGTTTTCCTTTCTCTATTCAGGAGACTTGCTAATATTATGTTGTCCTGGCCTAAACAGTCTTGACTTGAGGAATTTTCCTCAGTTTAGGTTGTTGCCAGCTAACACAAACCTTTGTTTACTGACTTGGTTATTGAGGAAAAAGGAAAACATAAACAATTGAACAAGCACTTCAGGGAAACACCCTTCCACCTTCTTCCCCAGGTTCAGCGTCAGGTCGAGGACAAAGTCACAAGAGTTAAAGACATCATTCTGAAAATGCTCAGTATGGATTGGAAAGCAATGCTATGTTTAGAGTATTTTAAGTTGTGATTACAAAATATGCACAAACTGCTTTTCTGCATTTGGGTTTTACTGCAATTAGAGTAAGCAATGACATGCAGTATGACTTCTCCTGCTGTGGAAATTCTGTGGAACTACACATTCCATCTCACAAGCTGCTTGTCTTTGAATTACAGACGCATGCCAAGTCTACTGGAATATTTAAGTTACAACTGTAATTTCATGGGTATCCTGGCAGGCCCGTTATGCTCTTACAAAGACTATATTACTTTCATTGAAGGCAGATCATACCAACTGCAACAGTCTGAAGCAAATGGGAAGGAAGATACAAAATATGAACAAACGGATCCTTCTCCAAATGTAAGATGTATGACTCTGACTCTTGCAGTGCTGATGCTGATGTAATCATTGCATGAAAAGCTTGGTTTGCACTGTTTGTTTACAGGCATAACTGCTGAGCTGTATCTGGAGTTCATTCATCAACAGTACAGTTCTCTGTTCAGAAAGTTAAATACTTTCTTTTTAAGCTAGGTTTTCCCCATGGTTTCCAGTCTGGATCTTGTGGACAAAAGCAAATGAAATTGGTGCTTCCTAACAAGCTTATCTGGTAAAAAGCCATCTTTAGATGAAGCAGTTAATGCATGTTTTCTTCAAAGTGTACGCTGCGTGCAGTAAAGACATACTGTATGTCTTGTCTTTTGAAAGTGGATGGGACTTAACAATTTCAGCAAAGTTTTATGAAAGTTCTCAAATTCTATTGTTTTCTAATGTTTTCTGCTCTGCATGGAGCAAGCAGCAAACATTCACATGCATTAAGTTGAAAAACACTCATGGAAACAATTTTTCCTGCTTTTATTTGTGTAGAGAGGTGCTGAAGCTCAATGTTATTTTTTGCTTTCATCTGAAGATGTAGTAAAATGTAGTATACTAGTATACTAGTGATAGCTGCATGGCTAGCCATCCATACAGTGTATTGCTTTTCTCTCTGTTCTTCTATTGGAAAAGAGAATACATACGTGCAGAAGAAAATCCATTTGATCCTACCTTACTGAAGAGATTGCATGGTCTGAATTAAAAGCTCCCAGAGCTTGTTCCTTTTCTTATTTAATCCAAAGAGTTTAATGTTGAGGGTACTGAATATTACCACTCTCTTCATATGTTCTTAAATAGGAGTGTGTCTATCTTTTACATTTGTGTCTAAGATGATTAGTATTACGTATTAAAAACAGAATTATTACGGAGTCAACTGGAGCACTTTGCATTAATGGCTTTCACTGACTCCAGGAGCAATTACTTGTTTCCTGCTTGTCTTTGCTAGCAGTTGCTAGAGCAGATGAAGGCGTTCCCACAGCTGCTCATCGCATCCTGATAGCTGGAAGATTCCGTCCCCTAGCGAATAGAACACTGAAGTGCTTCTCAATCAGTTGTCATCTCCAGCCACTTCCATTCTTTGAATGTGGGTGAGGACATTTTGCACATTCTGTTCTACCAATCTTATGTGGTTGTTGTAAGTTGCACCACAGAAATATAAACAAGTGGCTGGAGAATGATAATATTTTAACCTGCTCTGCATGTTGGCAAGCTGATGCAAGTGTGCTGTTGAGGAAGTCGTCAAGAAGGGAGAAGGACAAATGAGACTTGCTTGCATAGACTGGCACTTCATAGTCTGTCCATAGCCTGCACTTGTGTGTCGTATGGGCTAGGTTGCAAACTCTTGGTTTTTAAACAATCTTTTATCTTATGTACTAAGCTCCTATTTCTGAAGAAAAACATTACGAAGTAAGATAAATAGACCTAACCCAATCTGCTGGTATCAGGACTTCTGAACATGCATCTGCTGTTTGCCTAGTTGGGCTTCATAGCTTTTTACCGCATAATCTTTCTAGTGACCCAAATAAAGTCAATACAAACAAATGTAAAACTATAACAGATTCTTCTTTCAGGTAAGCAGTTTTTGCTAAAGTGTATTGCTCTCAAATTGCTTGATGTTTTTTGCAATTTATGCTGCGTTAGATTTTGACATAAAAAATAAAAGAGAAGTTGACTCTGCTGTTGATACTTCATCTCCCAACTGGCATTAGAGAAATCTGGCTGTGTTTTATAGCACCAGAGAGTATTCTGTGCTTTTGGAGAAATGTGGATGATATAATTTGTTCACTGCATTTGCTGCATCAATCAAACAATTCGTTGTTTTGTTCTAGAAGAAGAACGTTTAAATCCCATTAACTTCATGTTAATGTCTTAAATTTGTGCCTAGATTCTCACGTTACCTTTAATGTCAGTGTAAATTGTTAGGTAACTCAGAAAAATGAAGTGCAATGGGGATTGGCAAATGTTAATGTACGAAGTGAAAAAAAATCCTTCAGTTGAGTTTACAATAAGCTTCTTGTTAAATATAATTTATATAACAGAAGTAGTTCATGCTGGCCTCCTCCCCTCTCCTGTGTGTCGATTGCATGATACCAACTTGGTTTAGTATTTTTGCTGTGTTCATTGCATGTTAAATGAATCGAATCAGCGTATTAAAACTCATTTCTTATGTCCCTCCTGTTGTGCCTTTTTGCAAGCTATCAATTGTTGGTGCTCAAAGTGGTGTCAACTCTCAGAAATTAATATCTGTCTTTGTAAGTTTCTTTTTATTATGGCTACCCTTAACATACGAGATGCCTGTCAGCAGATATCTGCTTTCTTACATATTCTATAGACTCTTCCTATAAATTAAGAAAGTTCTGGGTTAATTACACGTAACTTTTAACTGAAGTGCTATCCTTCACAAAATGATGCACTTTAACGTAGTTCAGTATTATACTGAAATCCTTATTTTTTATCAGCCAAGAAGAAAAAAATATTCAGATAAGGCCTAAAGCACCTTTTATATTTCTTGTTTGTATTCATATGCACAGTACTTCTCCATGCAGCGATACATCTACGTGCACTCAGCGTTTATTGCTTCAATTAGAAAGCTGTTCCTGAACTCCTTTCACTAGTCAGGAATCCAGCTTTCAACCTACTTGCATTCCCAACCAATTAATGCACATTTGTTTTTGCCCTGGCATTCTCCTAGCCTAAATAAGTTTTTTTCCCTTCACAATATTACCCATATTTCATATTTTTCATACAGGTATGCCTAATTTTTGTTCATCAGAGCCAAACGAGCCAGGCTCTTCTTCCTTCTTGATGAAAAATAAATTGTGTATTCTACTTCACATGAGGTAAAAGGGACCTATCCTGCAGCTTCTGTTCTTGCAGTTCATTAGCAGAACAATTACTTTGGACTGTAGTTTCTGAGTTATTCCACAATAAGTGAGTTTTACTTTTTGACTTGATGCACTGAAAACTTCGGAGGGTGAATGAAACAAAATTTCAGACTTCTTAGAATTAGTTTCTTCATCCTGTAGAGACTGACCAATCCTCCTGTGGGTGTGGAGCCCTGTTTATGCTTTGGCAAAGAACAACCAAATGGCAATTGCACTAACTGTGGTGTCAGGTGTGGATTCCTGTTTGCGTGTAAGATTATTCAAAATTTGAGTGCTCTAAGCAAGCCAAGCCTCAGGCTAGAATGCAATGATCTGTTGAGTCCAACCCAAGTATCAACTTGTGGCAGTGGCTTCTGAGTTGTGTACCTGTCACAGAGTGCTGGTGAGCGTTTCATGGCACAGTGATCTGATTTGAGCGGTTGATCCCATCCAAAGCTGGTTTGTCAAAAATAAGTAAATAAAAACAAAACAAGGCAAATACCCCAACGACTGGTATTTCTCTTCAATTGCTTCCCGAATCTGACCCCCCCTCAGAAGGAAAAGAGCAAAAATGTGTAGCCAAGGTGAGGAGAAAAGGCAGGACTGCTTTGTTGCAGTGCAGCCTCTATTTGGACTGTCCTTCCGAAGGGCTGCTTAAAGCAGGCCTGGACCTGCAGCTCCCAGTCCTTGTAGAAGATTACGTCCAGTGTTGTTTGCTGAGGACTTCAGTGTGCCTCCCTGTGCCTGGGAGTGGTGTCAGCAAGCATGGTTGGGGGTTCTGGGATTTGTAATTATATATTTGAAGTAGTACTGGTTAAAAAACAAAAACACAAACAAAAAAAGCCATTAAGTAACATGCCATGCTGCTTCTGGATGTTATTATCCTTTTTCCTGTACTTTAATGTTGCTGCTAAAAAATTATAAATAGATATAAAATAGTAGAAATACATCACTTAAGTAAATAAAAACACCATCCTGCTATGGTACATACAAGTTCTGCAACTACAGATTGACAACCTCAGAGTTCATTTTTCAAAGGTATGTCTACGTGAGTTCACTGTTCTTTCTTAAGATGAATTTCCTTGAGAACCTGCTGCTGTTCCTTCAAAGAAGGGCTTTCACCTCCATGATTTAGTTGAAAACCTGCAGAGAGGTACCAATGCATTTTGGGTTGATGATACAGAGTGTGTAAAGATGGACAAGCAGTGGCAATGGACAAAAGGGAGAACAGTGCTTACTGTGTGTCACGTCATGTCTGTGAGACCTTGGTACTGTGCACCTTGCAGAAATCCTTGTGTTCATTTGGGCACTTACTGCTGCACTATGGAGCAGAACAGCTGTTTTGGAGCTAGGTATTTGTAGCTATGCTGATTGAAGTAGGACTTGAAGTACTGGAAGCAGGATGGGCAGCAAAAGGATTGTGAGTATCTTTTTGTTCAGTGCTTCAAAGAAAAATAGCTATATTGATTATTTTCCTGCCGAGTTTAGTGTCATAGAACTGTATATTAAAATTGTAATATTTACATTTAAATACTGAGTTTGTTTACGATGAAAACTTGAGAGTTGGATCATTTACAGACAGTTTGCAATCTTCTCTTTGAAGTGCTTGGTTCGGGTGTTCCTTTAGGAGCTTGCCCACACTGGTAAGCACCCTCGGAACATGGGTGAGACTCCTGACTCAAAGCAGTGCATGTCAGGCATTACTGCTCTGTGCATTTTACAACAGAACCTTAGCAATCCTGGTGTCCTAAAAGTAGCGCCCTCTGTAGAGTGGTGGTTATAGCTACACTGAATTTAGAGGAAATCTGAGTCCAGATTCAAGCTGAAGAATGTACTTTTTACATGTCTGTGATCATGTTATTTGACTCCTTATCACTTGATCATTCTAGGTTGGCAAACAAGGCATTATAGAACTGAGGTGTGTTGGCTGTAAATGCATAAATTATTTCAGCATTTTACTGTTTTAGAACTTAGGTATTGCGATAATTGAACACAGATAATTGATGTATTGAGTTGGGCAGCAACTAAACATCTGTATTATGCCAAAGGTTTCAAAAATGAACTAACATTTAGTCATTCTTTCTGGAATCTCTGCAGTAATTGCACGTGTCCAGTGCAAAGTTACATGCTCTGCGTTACGATGTTTTGGCAACTTACTTGTTTGGGTAATTTGACAATGAGATAAAAACTGGGGTTGCAAAAGAACTTCCTGTTATTGAAAGGGATTCTCAGGGGCTCATTGTGGTTGAATTCGATTTGCTGAGTTGCCAAAAGCAATGGTACTCACACTGTAATCGAGATAAGGATATTTCTTGAACACCTCTAAAATGCTACCAAATATTTTAAGTACTTGGTAGTAAATATTACTGAAAATCTTACACATATATTTACACCTGTTTAGGAAAGACTAACTCAAACTTACCTTTGTTTTCAGAAGTCTAACAAAACCTGAAGCTTACAAAGTCTCTTCTCTTAAACTTTGCAGATAGCTGTGGCACAGAAGCTCTTAATCTGTGGGCTGTCCTTACTCTTTCACATGACTATTACAAAAACATTGCCTGTGGAATACAACATTGATGAGAACTTCAGAGCTACAGCATCGTGGCCTGTAAGGGTTTTCTACCTATACTTGTCTCTCATGGCTGCCAGACCCAAGTATTATTTTGCATGGACTTTAGGTAAGTGTGGAAAAAAACTACTCTGTATTGAGTTTCGTTTGAGATGCTGCACCAACTGTGTTTTAAAAAGAGACAGTGCCCTCTTGAGGCCTCATGAAAACATTGTTAGATGTAAATATTACGAGGCATTGTCAAAGATACTGAATGATGTCTCTTTCTTGTGAAACAAAGCCTATCAACCACAGCACTAAGCACAGTGTTGTGACAGTGTGGCAAATGAGATCACGGAATACTGAACAAATCTATGGGAAACGTGAGGGCTTTTGAAGAGTGATATTGTTTTAATGAACAATGTCTTTTTTGCTTTTTGAAATGTGTACTAAAACTAGTCTGATTTGCAATCCTTGGAGTTCTAGACATATCTGAGAAGTGGCTTTAAAACTTTCTGTATTAGTTATCAGTAATTTGCTTGATGTTATTATTCAAGCATGAAGAGAAAATGAATAAATTGAAATTCAGATGTATAATTGTGTTGTTAGCAACAGATACAGTGGTATTTCCAGAATTGGGTTGATGATGCTTCATTTTTAGTCTTTGTTCACTAAAAACTCTATTTGACAAGTGGCAGAACACCCGTGGTCCTTCATCTAAGATACTGAATAGATGATACGGTTTGAGCAGTGTTTTGCTTTTTGCATCACGTTCTTTAAAAAACAGAACAAACAAAGAAAAAGCAAACCCAACACACACTAACCAAAATGCTGTATGTATGTAAGTTGGCATGCTGGATGTGTCTCACAAAACAGATTTCATTGATTTCCTCCTTCAGTTTTACATTATTTGTTGTGCAGTTTTTTTGAGAAAGCATCTGTGGGAAACAATGCAATAAAGAAAACCTTAGTGTGGCAGAGGGGCATGACTCATTTACTGCTTTCTGGTCACTGAATGATGTGCTTTCAGCATGTCTGGATATAGCAATTTTGGAGCTTGTTGCAGAACGAAATATTTTTGAATATTGTGCTCTTAAACACCAGTATCAGCATCTGTCAAAAGCAGGAATCAGCTGAAAAATGAATAATTTTCTACTCTTCCCCCCATCATTCTTCACATGGATTTCTACTTATGTTTGCTAGAAGTGAAGAGTTAGTTTGTTTTTGATAGAGTAGTGAAAAAAATAAATGACATCAATTCTGTACTTCCAGCTTGCTAACTCATTTTTTTCAACTTTCTCCTTCAATTTTATCTCATCTAGACTTCTAATAGTGTGAGCAGAATGTGCAAGGCTGGATGTTATGCTTTTGAGCTGTGTATTGCTATTCTTTGCACTTAGAAGAAATCTGTTCGTAAAATGAATTATTTAGAATAAATACTAAATGCTGGTTAATAAAATGGGTAACTGTAGTCTTTCTGCTCTAGCTAGCAAGGGATTGTGGTTCAGCTGTTTCTGAGAGCTTAAAATCATTGTCTAATACTTGAAGTTGACATCAGTGATATGACTGCGTGCATCTGTACAGGTTAGGGGCTGACCTGCTGGAAAGGAGATGTGCAGAGAAGTACATTTGCGTCCTGGTGGACGGAAGGCTGGCCATGAGCCAGCAGTGAGCTTTTGTGGTCAAAAAGGCCAATGGCATCCTGGGGTGCATTAAAAAGAGCGTGGCCAGCAGGTCGAGGGAGGTGATCCTCCCCCTCTACTCTGCCCTGGTGAGGCCTCATCTGGAGTACTGCGTCCAGTGCTGGGCTCCTCAGTTCAAGAAAGAAGGGAACTGCTGGAGAGGGCCCAGCAGCGGGCCACGAAGATGAGGGGCCTGGAGCGTTTCCCTTGTGAGGACAGGCTGAGAGACCTGGGGAAGCAAAGGCTTAGGGGGGAGCTTATCAATGCCTGTGAATATCTAAAGGGCGGGAGTCAATGGATGGAGCCAGGATCTTTTTGGTTGTGCCCACTGACAGAACAAGGGGCAGTGTGCACATACTGTAACTTAGGAAATTCCATATGAACACAAGAAAGAACTTTAACACGAGGGTGACGGAGCACTGGAACTGGCTGCCCGGAGAGGCTGTAAAGTCTCTTTCTTTGGAGCTGTTCAAAACCTGCCTGGATGCTTTCCTGAGCCACCTACTGTAGGGAACCTGCTTTAGAAGGGGGTTGGAGTAGATGATCTCCAGAGGTCCCTTCCAACCCCTAGAATTCTGTGTTTCTGTGATATCAGATGTATAGCAACAAATTTTATTGCTTTAAAAGATAGTTATTAAAGTTGTTACTGATGAGGGAAAAAGTGTAAATTACGCTTTATTAATTCAAGAGTCACAAATCCCTGTTCCAGACTTGTGAACGTTTGGAGAATCAGCTTCAGGAAAGGAACAGAGCGTTTGGGTTGATCTTTTATTTTCTGAGTGCTTTAGATTGGTACCTTCAAAAAGCTGTTGAGAAGAAAGGAAAATACATAATAATGATACATAAGTAAATGTGTAATACAGATTCCTTCAACATAGTAATAAAAGTTGAGCAAATTCCTAATTCCTCGCCAGTTGTAGGTTAAGAGGTGACAATCTGAATAGAGTGCTTCAGATGAGATCTGAGTTCACACACAGGGTTAATGTCCTGCCACTGGAGGACCTGCACTGCACTGCTACTGGAGAGCCTTTTGACTATGATGCGTTCAATTCCTTAAGGGTAAATTGTGAGAGGAATGGGCCTTGTTTTCCCCAGGGCCATTTGTATTGCCAGGTGCTCCATGGTGAGCGCACAAAGCTGAGGCAAGGGGCTGTGTAAGAGAGAAGGATATCTGTACTGTGAGATAATGAAACTATTCATACTTTTGCTTTTTTAGAAGGTTTTTAATTGAAAGTGCCTATGTAAGCATGGATTCTTTGGTTGTTCAAGCATCTGATACAGTGATCGTCTACATTTAAAAATAATACGCATAGGCCTTAAAATGTAACATATTTTGAACTACTTACCTGTTGTGTAATGCACAATACAGGCAGTTTACAGTTTGTTTCTTCCTGTCTCATTGCAGCAGATGCAATTAATAATGCAGCAGGATTTGGTTTTAGAGGCTACGACAAAAATGGAGTTACGCGTTGGGATCTAATATCAAATCTGAGAATCCAGCAGATAGAGGTTTGTTCATTGTTGTTCCAAATAAAATATATGGCCACGTAGGTATTTAATTGTAATTACATTAACTTTTTCTGTACATTCTGTTTATCAAGATGGTGTATATGTTTTAAATCAGAAATGACACATTTGTACTCTTAGGGAAGGATCTTAGAATATCTTTTACTTGTCAGCTGATTTCTAAAATATTGTGTGGTTATAAACTGCTGAGTAAATTCTTTATTCAGCTCATTTCAAAATTGGTTTTTTGTGCAGTTCGTGTGCTAGAATTCAGGAATGTTTTGTAACATTTTACAATTACTGACATAATTGTTTTGGTTTTCTTTTTCAGTCTTCCACAAGCTTCAAGATGTTTCTTGATAACTGGAATATCCAAACAGCTCTTTGGCTTAAAAGGTATCTATTTCTTTAGGGCAAGCTCTTCTGTGCTGAAGTTCCTTTAAGTAAGATGTTTTTGAAGAAAATTTAGCACGTAAAGCTAAACCTTACAAAACAGCACAGTTGTTTAGCAATTGCACAGAACATTCTTCCTATAATGCCTGTGTTAAAGCCTCTGAATTCAGATCACTTAGTGTAAAATGTCTGCTAATAATAGAAACTACTTGACTTCTTCGCTGGTCATAGGAAACCTGAAAGTATTAATATGGAGGAGTTTTTTTTACTTTATTTCCTCTTGCCATTCAAAGCTGTTTGTGTTGCTGAAAACAGTGGGCAAAGCATTTAGCTTTGGCTGCCAGCCTGTGTAGGCTGGGAATTTTTTAGCCACGCAGTGATGCAGAACTTTCATCCAGTCTGTGCAAGAACTTTCTGCACTCCTACTGTAATGGGTGCATGGCAAATATCAAACCCCACAGTGTGCTATCAAAAAAACATTTACAAATGAATATCCCCTAGATGCATTTTTTCTTGTCTGGGAAACAGAGTGTCTAGTGATCTAAATCATTGTGCTTCCACCACTTCTTTGTGGTAAACAGAAGCAAAAACAAAAAAGCATTCTTGAGAGTAGCACACAGGTTTTGTTAAGCTTTGCCTGATGGCTGTATAGGCAGTCTTTTTCTATTTCTGTTTCTATAAGTCTGATTTAATTTAGATCCCCCCATCTTGGGACCACTCAGAGGACTTTCTCTCCTATTGTGGGATGACTGGCAACAGCGTGTCGCTTCCATCAGACTTCATTGTAGTATGTGCTCTGCCTTCCATAATTTCTTCTCTAAATATTTTCCTGACCTAATAATAAAAATTAAAACAAACAAAAACACAAACAGAGATATCATTGGATTATTCTGGCTGAGTCAGTTGGCATCAGCATGTGTCAACCGCCAAGAAGAATTAATGCATGAATTTATTTAGAAAGGTTGGAGAAGAATCTTTGAGGATAATCTGAATACGTACTGATTCCTTCCACAGGGAAAAGGGAGGAAAGTAGAATATTTTCTTAAGCATTCATTTTCAGTAAAAGATTGTTTTAATGTCTGCGTACAAGGACCATAAATAGTGGTGCAGAGTATGTGTTACAATTACCTGTACTTTGTCAGTTGTAGTGCTACATCCGTTTTAATAGAAAAACTCACATATTTAAACGTAATATTTAAACTCACATATTTAAACACTTTGAAACTCATGTATTTAAACATATAAACACTTTGAATATGTCACTTGTTTACCATTTAAAAGAAGGTAAAAAACTTAGGTATTTATCTCCTAAGAGATACAGAAATGTTGGACATAAACATTGTTTCTGCGTTGGTTCTTTTTATATCTTTGGAAGAGGAACCATCATAACTAGGAATTCCAAATCCTGATTGTGTGTAAGAACTTTGTAGAACTGTTAAGCAGTTAACTGATCTGCACATCTTAAGGATGCTTCAGAAGCATTGTGGATCACAAAATAAAGCAGTTCAAAGGTATTATGGTTAGAAGGATGCATGTTAAAGTAGATTTTTGATGATGGGGCCCTGGGCAGCCTTGTCTGGTATTAAATGTGGAGGTTGGTGGCCCTGCATGTGGTGGGGAGGGTGGAGATTCGTGATCCTTGAGGTCCCTTCCAACCCTGGCCATTCTGTGATTCTGTGAATCTGTGATATTTACACAGTAGCAACATATATACATATATGTTATATAATACATATGTATATATATCTCATTATAGTTTTCCTCCCTGGGAAATTGCTCAGCCTATTCATTTTCATTTTTATTTTTCCAAAGGAAACACATAATTCTGTTTGCAAAACCTCTGGGCTTTTTGTTTCTCTATTCTAGCTTCTTTCCAGGTTTCCTCTCTGTAAGAACAGTGAATGTAGTACTTCTGTAACCTTCAAGGTCTTTCTCTGGCTTTTTTATAGGCAGAATGAATGATTTGAATGGATTAATTACATTTCTTTTCTTTAGATAGCACTGCTACTAGTTCATCAGTATTACCTCTATCTTTTCTTTTGCAGCACTGATCTACTGTTTGCTTATGCTCAGCTGATAGTCACTGTTGATTCATATTTATGATCAGCTGTATTCAGTAATATTACATGGACAGTTACTGTTTTCTGTCTTCCACTTTTCTTAGATATTCTAAGACTTTGGACTTCATGTTGGTGATTTTAGAACATCATTCAAATCTGCCAAGATCTCTTTGGATTCTAGTCCTTTATCTGCTGAGAAAACAATGCACGCCTCCTCCATTTCACCTTCCCACTCAAAAAAAAAAAGAGAAGGGAAGACAGAGTGAAAAATAGTCTTGTTAGCCTGCCACCCAAGCTAGTAATGAAAGCATAGAACCAGGCCGAGGCAGAGCCTTGCTGAATAGCTGACACGTCTTCCCACAACTAGAGGAAATCATTACTAAATATAACAAGCCATATTTGAACAGATTTTCGCAGCCTGCACCCCTATTTCCTTGGTTTGCTTTTAGAAATGTTAAATGAAGTGTTTCAATGGGATTGTTGACAAAACCTTGGAGGAATTTTCAAGCTTACATTTAACTCTCTTAAAATGAGGCCTGATGATTTTTCCTGACCTGTGCTGGTAGGGCTGAAATTTGGTTTGTTTATGTAGTTAGTTTTTCCTAAGCGCCTGAATTCTTTGCAGGGGAAAATCTACTTAGTTAAAGCAGTTTAACTAAACCAAAAGAGATTGAAGCCGTTTACTGATATAAACTAACAAGACCTAATTAACCAGCAGGCAATGAAATACACATTCAAGATTCAAATCATTACTACAGCAAGTAATGTTTTGCCAGTGCATAGTGTTATGGTTTAATGAACAAATTTATTCTGTGACTAATCTCAAGGAGCTTAAAAAATACATGTGCATGACCACACTTCCAGGCAGCCCACCCACACTCTGAAGGACACGTGGGTTACAAAAAACACCTCTTTTCCAAGTGTGGCTCCCTGCCTGTACACAATGTTTTTGGGAAAGGAGGGGTCTCAGCTTGGTGTGAACCTGCTGACTCACGTGGCAGTTAGAGAAGCACGCAGCATCTTCACATGCATGCAGCTGATAGGGTAAGATGTTGCATCCTATGGACAGCATACTGCACTAACAGTCCCCTGGCTGGCTGCAGCCTTGATGATGCGTTCCAGCTCTGTCTTGGCCTTGGCAGAAGTCGTGATGCTGGTGATGACTTACAGCAGTGCGAAACCAAGTTTGGATTCCAAGGTGTCTCCTCAGCTGTCCCCCAGAGATGTCATGCTGCTTTGTACTTCTTTTTAGGCTGACACCTTCCTTGTTTCAAAAGCCTTTTGGAACGTTCCTGGTTACTGTTTAATCTGGCCAGTGTTGTTTTCTTCCTTATTTTGGACAAATGTCCTCAGTCTGGTCTATTATGCACACAAGCACCTGCACCCTTCTTAGGTCCACGTTCTTATCCTAATGCTTGTTAGCAAAGTGCTTTTGGCAAGAGGAGGAGACTGTCCTGGTACGCCACACTAAAGAACTCATAGGGTAAAATTTGCTGCATCTGTTTGACTGAAATAAGCTATAGTAGCAAAATACACTTTTGATATTTCACTGTCCAGATTCCATCTCTTTTCCTTTCACTCTTTAACACTGACTGTGTTATTCGGTCTCAAAAATCTTTTATATATATGAAAGTAGTAGTAAAGTAATTACATAAGTAGTAAATGTTTTGACTCTGTGTATCATAGCCTTGTCTTCCCCTTTCAGTAACAGATCTACATTCTCTTCTTTCTGTCACTTGCTACGTATTTATAAAACCTTTCTACATGTTGGTATCAATGGCCTTTTTTAATTAAAACTCATTTTTGTTTGCTAGTCTTTGATTTCTGTTCATACCTGCTTTGTGCTGTTTACTCTTAGTTCACTTTAGTATGCATCTGTTTCCATATTTCTTTTTGGTTTTCTATTTTCTATTGCTTTTTGGTTTTCAGATCATTAAAGAACTCTAGATGAAGCCATATCAGGACCTTACCATGCTTCCTATCATTGTTCCACATCATGATGGTTTGTCACTGTGTCATTTAATGCTGTCTTTTAGCAACTACTGCTTTTCTTGGATTCCTTTTTCCCTTCGTCCTTCTAGAACTCCTCACCGTAGGTCCTTGCTCAGTAATTCAACGTTTCTGTTTTTAAAGAGCAGAGTTCAGCATTCTCCTTATTTGATATCCTCACGTTCCTCAAGTCATTCATCATCATGCTCAAAACTGCCCTACACACATGTGTGCAACTGCAGTATCTCTGTTACTCAGAATTGAAGGAGTTGTTACTTTTCCCCTTTGCCCATAAGTGGCTTTCGTTTTATGAAAAATATATATCAGACTCATTGCAAGAGTTTAATAGTTTCTGGCTTCTGATCCAGCTTTTCAAACACATTTTTAGATGACTTAAGATCCCTTATTGATACTGTCTTTGGATGCTGCTGTGCAACTTTGCTATAAATAAGCACCATAAAGGATGGCACTGAGCATAGACAGCACTGAAGGTTTAAATCTGCAGCTGTGAGCAGCTTTAGCCATTTTCTGTAAGTCTTAATGTAGTGGCATTATTTTTAAATAACAGTAATCTGCAATTGTACTGCAAAGAATACATTAGAGATGAGCCTGCTGAAAGTATGAAGGTATAAATGACAGCTGGGAAGGTTTGTTAACAATCTGTCTCATGTTGTTTATCTTGATTTGTCTTTCATTTGCTAGAGTGTGCTACGAGCGAGCCACCTTCAGTCCAACGATCCAGACGTTCATCCTTTCTGCCATTTGGCATGGGGTTTACCCAGGATATTACTTAACATTTTTAACAGGAGTGCTAATGACGCTGGCAGCACGAGCTGTAAGTATCAACCAAACATCTTAACTCATAAGTAGTTTTGACAAAGAAAAGTGAGATCACATGAGCAGAGTTCAGGGACAGCTCACGGGGAGCTGTTGTGTTTTCTCAGCAGGATTTTGCATGCAAATTCAGCATAACAAATAATGAATCCAGCATAGGAATTAATGAATCTTTTTATATCAGTCCCATTTGATATTGTTTTATTAAAAGTTCTGAAGTGTGTCATTAGAACTAATATTTGGAGTATTCTGTTGGTTTTTTTGCACCCCTCTAGTCCTGAAATACACCTTTGTAGTGAACATATGAAAGTGGTTTACTACGTAGGATCTTTTCAGCAGGAGCGTTCTGGTTTTCATTTGTTCCAAAACTGAGTGGTTACAGAATGGCTTCATAGAAGAGAATGCCTGCCACCCTCAGACAAGTAGTCTTAAGATGCACTGGATTTAGGGGAGATGGGTGCCTGTGCATTGTTTTGCTTAAATGTGGCTAAAATACTTAGAATCCCTGTGCTGGATTAAACATGCTGCCCTAAAAGGCACGGAATTTCAATGACTTCTTCAGAAGTTAATGGGTACTTTGAATGGTTCAAAGATGTTTGTCCAGACATTTCTGTTCTTCTTGTGTTTTTTGTGGAAGTACAACAAATTCTATGCAGTAAAGTAGCACTAATTCATTTATTACTGATCTAACTTACTATTATATGGGTGTTTTTTTTAGATCAGAAACAATATCAGACACTATTTTGTTGAATCTCCTGCTGTTAAACTATGTTATGATATTATAACATGGATGACAACGCAAGTAGCAATAAGTTACACAGTTGTGCCATTTGTACTGCTGTCTGTGAAACCCTCTTTCACCTTTTACAGGTAAGCACGTTCTCCCTGTTTCCATTTCTTTAACTAAAAGGAAATGAATTTATTTTCTGTTACAGCACTAGATTCTGTGGGGAAGACTTTATTTCCGTTTTCCCCTATTTTTTCTTTATTTTAAACAAATATCTTAGGCACAAAGTACTGTATTTGAGTGGGTCTCAACAATGTATTCTTAAGCATCCTGAAAGACTGCTCATCATTTTCTTCAATGATTGGTTTTATTTGTTTTTCAGCTCCTGCTATTTCTGTCTTCATATCGCCAGCATCCTGGTGTTGTTGGTATTTCCATTGAAAAGAACTCAAAAAGGAAATAAAAAGCATGAAAGCATCCAGCCAGCGTGGTCCAAAAAACTAGAAGAAGAAAATCTTTTGCAAAAGAACAGTTATTCCACAACAAATAATAGTTTCAGTCAGAAAGAAGAAATAACCTGCAGATATGAAGCACTAAAGCAGTGATTGAGGAGTATTATGATCAATATATTTTGTATGTTTTCAGAAACCCATTTTTAGCACCTTTTAAAGGGGTTTGTATTTGTTTGCAAAGATGTTTAGTATGACAAGAATGCATTACCTAGGAAAATCACATACAATAGCAAGACTGGAAACAAAACAGATTAACCCCTCCCATGCCATGTCCCGGTGGGTCACGCCTTATATGAAGATATTACCATTCTTTCAATGGGCACTCAGGACTTGCAACGTATGTCCATAGGGTCATATGTGTGCCCTCTGCTGAATGTACGTTGTGTATCCCAAGGCACTGATGGGGTGAAATGAAATCGTGTCAATCTAGGATTAACGAATGGAAATTGATTTTTCCAAATGAATGACTTGCCTTAAACCCTCTATTTACTGAAACATTGTTTCTAAGCGGTATTTTCAAGTCTGATTTTGTGGAAAGTATTTCAAATATTTAATACTATATGCTATAAAGAAGATAAAATATGAAATGCAGAGTCATTGGAAGGTTTTTGAACCTCTTCTCTAAAAGGGAATTGCAATAAGCATCTCAGTATTTGGAGGGTTTTCTTAAAGTATCTCAAACAATTACAGTACATTATGGAACTGTAAACATTACTGATGCCAAATCATAGTTAGGTTTCTGTGACAGAATCTAATGAAGCATAGCCCTTCTGAACAGATTAAAAAAAAGAGTCATCTCAAGCTTCTCCTTTTCCAGGGCTTCACAGCTCTAGGTTAGGTTTCCTTTAATTTCGAGTACATAAAAGCAACAAAAAACACCGCTGAGTGGGCTTTGCAGTTGGGGAAGGAAAGGCAGCCAAAGGATGCTGAGGACAATGTGCAAGCACCAGAACTTCAATGGAAATTTGTTTTTACCCTTAAAGTACCAGAAATATTTGTCCTAGAATATAATTGTTTTATCAAAAAAGAGGTTTTGGTACTTAAAAAAAAGTAATTTTGAGTTTTAAGGCATACAGTAGTTGATGATGCTAGCAGTAATTAACTTGAGATCTAGTTCACGATCAAATATGAAATCACCACAATGAACAAGATCTGTATGCTTGATCATTGATTTCCCTTTATGCAAAGAAGTGTATGAACCGGGGGAAAAGATTTTTCTTTAAATTAGAATGTTAGATGCAGGTTTCACATGGCACTTGTAGGTAAAATAATGAAAGAAAGAAATGTGTGAGGATGTGTAACTGACTGAATCATGGCAGAAAGTTAAGGGAACGATGCATTGGTTCTGTCTGCGCCAGACCGTGTGTTGAGATGATGGTCACTGCTAGAGTACTGTTTTAAAGGGCTACATTGTAATTGTTTGTATTCTGTGTTATCTTTTTTCTTTTTTAGTAAGCACAACTGCTTACCCACACCTATGGGCTTTAAAGATAAAACAAAGTACTGCTGGGGAAAAATCACACGGCCCGTTGGGTAACCTATGAACGAGTGAAAACAAATATGTCATACTGTTGTGATCCTGATACTTTTGATCAAACATCTGGCACCAGTGAGGTCAGTATTCCCACTCCAGGGTCAATGTTGCATTCCAGGGAAACTGTGGTGGTCGTTCTCAGCTCTGGGGCAATTGCTGTGCAGAAATATCACAGTATTTGTCCCGTTTACTCTCCAAAAACCAAATCCTCAGTCAAGTCTCTGTGACCTCACTGTCGTAATTCTGTGTCTGGGCCTTTGGCTCCTTGCTTGAAACTTCAGGAGGAAAACATACTTTTTGTTGTTAGCACTTAGCATACTTCTTGTAGGTTAGCACTAAATAACTAACTATTTAAGTAACTAATTAACTAATTAACACTTGGAAAGGTGGAACCAAATGTGAAATGAGTCTTAGATAGGCAGGGATGTTCGTTGTTTCAGTGACAGCTGTATTATCTTAAAAAAAAAATAAATCAGATTTCTGAATCCTTATGTTGGTCATTCAAGCAGGCTTCCCCTTTGCATGGGGCAGCCACTGTCATCAGATGTGTTTTTGAAACAGCATTTTTTCTTCCATTGTTTGTAAATAAGGGCACACTAATTTCTTCATGCTTATTTATCCTCACTGGAGATAGAATCAGGAAAAATGTTGTCCACTTTCTGTTCTTGGAAGGATATTTACATTAAATAACAAATGGAACTGCAGTCTTGTAGGTGAGTAGATTTTGGGTTGGTTCTTTTAGTATTTGCTGCTGTTGAGTTTAAATTCTCCTTCTAGTTGGTGCAGGCCACGTATCTCCTCAAAGGAAGTGGGCTTGGATGCCAGTGCTTCTCATGTGCCATTTTCCATTAATATTCTGGTGCTCCTGTTTCCTTCTTTTGGCACGAGTGCCACTGTGTGCAATGAAAGCGTCTGAGTTCTTGATTAAGAAAGATGAAAACAGTTGTAAGCAACCCCCAGAAAATAAGCTGAATTAGGCTGTGAAGTCTGGTACTTCGACATGAGCAAATGCACAGATACAGTTCTGTTCAGAGGTGTAAGTTAAAACAGCTAAGAGAATACACTCATGCGTTAGCTGGTCGCGCACAGCGAAGATGGGTTTCAGAATTGGACGTGACAGGGGTCTGTGTGCAACACAATTCATTTATTTCTTCACGATTTGAACTCCGTAAATAATAGCAGCATAAGAAAATGACAATTTTGTTCTGCCTAGAATTTCCCTTGACGTGCAGTGTCCTAGAGTTTAGTTTTTAAATATCATTGTCAAATATAGAAGTACTCATAACCAATGTGCTCTTCATGTACGTGAATTCTCTTGAGGGCTGTCACAAGAATGGGCCATGGGGGTTTTTTTGTTGCTTTTTTTTTTTTCTTTTAAGTGGCAGCACTCGAGTTTTTGTGGTTATTTTCCCTCCACTTTGCTAGTTTTTTGCCTTGCTACGGCAAATGGAAATGTTGCACTGGATCCTTTTTATTCATTCAGTCGTAAAGATAAGAGCAGCCAACCCAGATGCTTTAGATAATTTTCAGGTTTTACCCACACGGTTTCATAATAATGATTTTGAAAAGGTGGAGGTGATTTACTACATATGACTCTTTCTGAGAAAAATAGTAGAAAGCAAATTGCTTAGAAACACTTCAGACATGAAAGAAACATGGTTTTAAGTATTCTTTCACTTAATGTATATCCAAAAGATAAAAGTCTTTTCTGTGTTCCAGATCAGCACTCTTTGGAAAGATAACATATCGTTCATGATATTATGGTGCTTTGCTGATATCTGCCTATTGTGAACAATTCATCCAGACACTTAATGAATTAATATTATTTACTAAATGCAGTCATCCTGACAGTAACTATTTGCTTGCATAACTTTTCTTTAATGCTTCTGTATTAATGAAAGAGATGTATTATATATATTTAAAGAATAGTTTCAGTGGTGCCTACTACTGTTCCATTAGGGAAGCTTTGTTAGCTACACATCTACATCAGTGCCCTTCAGGAAACTTATTTTTCTGTGGCTATTCCTTAAGGTGACATGTAGACAAGTGACATTTGAAAACATGCTTTCATGTAAAAAACATATTATCATGTAAAAATACTGGTCCTCATTTTAATGTGCTCTTAATAACAGGGCAACAAAGACAACTTTGCAAAGAGATTTTAAGTGTATTCCGTACTCTCCATTGACTTGTGATATGAGTTTTACCAGTAGAGTATGTCATATATTAAGAAATGGTACCGTTTTTTTAACTTCCTCCCTTCCCCCTACAGGAATAAGTAGTACAAACAGAAGCACTGTGTTTGTCTGGCACACACTTGGTAGCTGTGCCCCTTTTTAATAGCGCTGATTTAGTTAGTGGTAAAACTTCTGATGTGGCTGAGATCTGGTTTTGCAAACAGCCCTCTGAGAACTTGGCCTCCTGTCAAATTCATATCAAAAGTAATTTTAGCAGTCTGCATTTTTCTCAGGAAACAAATTATTGTCAATTGCTTTAAATACAAGGTCAGATGGATACTCACGTTCACATACAAATGTGTTACAGTTGCTTACGTGTGAACTTTCACTTGTTCAGCTTTCTAAGTCGGCCTTGAAAGGTGGAGAAAGGATGGGTTATGATAATTTTAGGCTTTCATTCCCTTTGCCCTTAGTTCTTTCACTGTGTTGGTTTCACTGGAACAGCTGCCCAGAGAGCTGTGGGTGCCCCATTCCTGGAGGTTCTCAGGGCTGGGCTGGGTGGACCCCGAGCAGCCCATTTACAGTGCCAGCCCCTATCCTGCTCACGGTCAGGATGGAACACGTGCCAGCACAGGGGGCTGTGCAGTGCTAAGCATGTCCCATTGGAGCAGAACTGGCAGGGGAGCTTATGGCAGCCGCAGCTGTGGCTGCTCTGTGCTGGGTCTGCCTGAGCTGCCATGGGTGTTGCAGTCTTAACCCAGATGCTTAACAACCACCACCAGATCCTGGCATCTGCAAAGCCACCCTGCCATGTTGTAGCTGCACGTGTTGAAACAGCTGCTTGGTGTGGTTAAAATTAAGTGATGATTGTTTTTTTAATTTCTTAAAAACATTTTGAGAATAGCTTTTTGTATACTTTTAATAAAATCTAGCTATCAACTGTAACAATTTTCGACCCCATTAGATAATATCTAAAACAGGACTTTGCTCCCTTCACAGCTATACAAATATTCAAAAGCAAGCTTTGCCACTTCATCCTGTTCTGTGAGTCAGCTATGTGTGTGTCCAATGACTTTTGGCCTGGTTTTGGTTTTAGATGTTTGTAGATTGCCTGGATCCCTGTGCCTATCCATATAAACCTCGTGAGCTGGCAAGCTGTAGTTGCCAGGAGTGTGCATAAACAGATGTAGCTGAGGCCGTACTGCTAGTTACGTGAGCTTGGCTTGGGTGCACCTGCTGGGGCCTGCTTGGTCTGCTCCCACAGTGCTGAACTTCTACTTCTAGAAGTGAGAACAGAATTCACTGCTTGCAGTTCAAGTGGAAAGTTAAGGGCTGCTTTCACTTTGGCTGTTCTGCTGTATACCATTGGGCTGCCGATAAAGGACTGAAATCAGAGTTGGAAATTGCAGGGCCACTTCTGGAGGGCCTTTTTCTACTGATAGTGACTGAGCACCTTACTCCTAATGAACCTTTTGGCTAAATAGGCCTCAAACAGTCCCTTTTGTTCCAAGGCAAACAGCCCACGCTGCACTGACATTTAAGTGTCCCCACAACACAGCAGGAGCAGCCAGCTGTGGTCGGGGCTTCAGTCAGACTCAGCAGCTCCCTTCTTTCCTCAGCAGTTCCCCCTTCCTGCAGAGATGTGATCTGAGACAAAAAGCAGTGAAATGTGGCCCCTGGAGACCTGCAATCCAAATAGTGCAACACTGCACATTAAAGATGCAGCCAAATGTTGTGACAATAAGTAAAAGGAGGATTTGCTTACGTATATTTTGCCTTTTTTTCTATGTTTACCTTCACATTTTTCCTGTGTACCTTTTTTGCCCGGTGGTATTGACTGTTTCTCTGCAGCATCTTCTGATGTGTCATACCGTGACAGGTGTCAGAAGGGACACAGCACTGCCGGATGGTCATTCTGACATCCCAGACCTCAGATGTGTTCTAGAGCAGTTAGAAGAGGGCATTTGAAATGTATGGAATGAAAAATGGTGCAGGACTAGTGAATATAGCATTGTTCAAAGATGTGGTAATAAGTTATTCCGTTTAAGAATATAAAATACAGAACCGCGTTCTCTCCTGCCTTGGTCACACGTTCAAGGGAGTAGTTTTACCTCAATGCAGTAGTTATGACTCCAGATACCCGTGTATTAAGGTGAGAAGACACCCCTAAAAGTGTGGATAGTTACAGTATCCCTAAATTTGCCTTTCCTGATTCAGAATATAATGCATTGTCGGTGAATTTCATTTTTATTATTCCAAAATATATATTTTTTAAAAAGTGTTATTTTTCAACAGATCCATAAACTAAGTGTTGGTGTATGGTAAAATTAAAATACCACTGTTAGTTACACTGTGATTGTGATATTTTAATAATTACATATTTCTAATTTGTCTCAGCCGTGCTGCAGAAGCGGCATGCTGTTATGTTTTAAAGGTGTTTTTAACTTGCCTATAAATGTTTTTTTTCTAATTTGTGTCTTTAAATCTGATTAAACTGTAGTTACAAAAAAATGTGAACTTGTTTTTCCAAGTTCTTTGGTGTCTGTCTGTTTTTAATTAGTGCCAGGAATGGTATCACGCTGTGTTTTAAAGCAGCTTCTCCTTTACAGATTACCAAACATTACACGCGCTTACATTGTTACTTGGGGTATTCTGTTTAAAAACTGCTTTCATCCCATGGGGCTTACATACAAATATATACATGAAATAGTTTCCCAAGTTCGGCTGCGTGTTAATTGGGAAACGTCCTCACACAACATGCAAATCTCCATCTCAAAGCTTCCTGCTGCACTGTGCGGCGACTGCAGTTTTTTCCAGCTGGGAGCTTCATAACTACCAAATCACAACCAGTGCTTTGAACAAGCTGTTGATTGAATTGCTGACTCCAAAGAAGCAGGATTAAATGTGTCCTATGTGTGTGTGCTTCTTTTGCTGTTTGAAACTTCACTAAGAGGGCTCCGCTATGGAAGTTGCTGTTGGCGGGTGATGATATTTTAAAACATATTCCTCAACCTAAAGTCTCTTTACCATGCAGATTAACATTGATTTATGGAAAAGAAGGTATATTGGATGCTACAAGTGCTGCTCCCATGACTTCCTGTCTAATACAGACTCACTCCCCCTCTTCTCTTCATCAGGTATTAATGCTTCAGAACAGACTTTTAAATGCCAGTGTAATTTGCTGAACGGGTCTTTACAAGGATCTGTTTCTGCAGGTGGTCCCACCTTAGAGCAGCACTTAGAGCACGTGTGGTGCTCTCTGGAAAGACCCCACTGTATTAATGATATTTAAACGCTGTGTTCAGACCTTCCCTTTAGGAAGCTGTATTGTGGGAGATAAAAAGCACTCGCCACTTCAGCACAAGACTACAGATACAGCTGGAGAAGCTCCCGTGACTTGTCATTCCAACCAGAACTGAGGTACTGCCATGGAAATTGCCTTCTCAGCTATGCTTCACAGTGGAGTGGGTCACAAGTGTGAAAATCATCACCATGAACTAAAGGTTTATGTCTGCATTTAGTGAGAAACATTTGAGCTGATGAAGACAAAATACAACTGCTGAGATTTACTGGTACACCCAATTATTCTTACAGAGGAAAACTGTGACTCCATGCCTTAAGATACTGAAGAAAATGTCCTGATTCAGAGCATACTGGAGACACAGATATTATCCTATGCCAACAGTTAACCTTAAACTGGCCCAAGTAGCTTCCTGATAACAAAGCAGGACGTTTTAGTGTGTAATGCAGTTTTAGGGGAAGATATCTTTACCCTAACTTAAATTAGAAGTGGAGACGTGTACCCTCGGTGGGGGTTGCAGTTCTTCCTGGGATGGCTGTGTCTAGCAGCAAAATAATTGTCTCCATGTGGGTTATTCATTATCTTTCCAAACTCAGTAACCAGCAGAAAAGGGAATCTCTGCATTTGTATTGTTATTCTGCTGACATAAGAAACACTTTTAAATATGAATCAAGTGTGAGGTGCACAAAAGGCTCTTATGACTTGTACTTAAAGCAGTTTTCCCAGAAGGTTCCCGATGGGATTCCTAAATTATTTGCTTGATAATTAATAACTTAATTCATTGGGGAATAATTCCATGGCAGATTTCCCCTTGTTTGAAACATGTTGGCCTTCATGGCAAACCTTATTTCTGTGCCCCCAGTCTCTGCTTTAAGTCTCTGCATCTCTGCCCACAGAGTCCACCTCATAACAGCCTTTTCCCATCGTAATGCTTTGTCAGAAGACAAAAATATGTTTTTTGATCAATTTAAGTTGAAGAAGTTAGAAGAAGGAAATAAAACAGTTCAAGCATTATAGTAATTATTAGTAGTACAATAATAGGATTATTAATTATTAAAGCACAGTCAAAATCTATAACAAATTATTTCACCAAGTCTCATTTGTTTCTGGGCTGTTAATTGAACTGATGTTAGGTACTGGTTTGAGATACTGTCAGATATTTAAACCAATACCTTCTAGGTGTGCAAAGGAACTTAATTTTTTTTTCAAGTAGGTTTTGATGGTATGAATGACGTTACTGCAGAATGCAGCAGTCTGTCAGAGGGGGGATTACGAATCCTTCAAGTCATCTGTCGTGAGTTCTCATGTTTCTCTCTCTCTCCATAGGTTTTGCTGGGGTTTTGTTTTGGTGTTTGTTTAATGGGGTGTTCAAATGGCATAAATCCCAAGCCCCAGAGGCCACTCTTACTGTTAGTGATATGATAAGTTTTAGAACATGAAGACAAAAATTCAAATGGGAAACAGAGCACTCTTTTTAAGATTTTTCTAGGTTGCAGCTTGAACCTCTCAATAGAACCATATTACATCGTCTGTGTGAATTCACCAATGGGAAAATGTTGCTCATGTAAGGGTAGGGTGTGAGTGGAAGAGCATGAGACAGAGTTCTGCAGTTCCTCAGCTGAGATCAGCAGACACGAGCATGTCAGGAGTTGGGTGAGCTGAGTGAAGGGGGGAGAAGGTGAAGTGCAGACAGCAGTGCCTTCCCTGCCTCCCCATCACCAGGACACACAGGGCCCTCGCACGCAGGAGCTGCTGTTTCTGTTTGTAGTCATGGGGTGAGAATATAGAACACTTTTATTTTCCACAACTTATGTGTGGAAAAGCTATGGTAAAAGAATAAGGATTTAGATTATGATGATATAAAGTGAGATTAATATACTCTGAAAAACAGTATTTTGTTTGAAAGTCCATAGATATCATGATGCTCAGTTTCTTGAAACATCGGGACCACTCCTTGAGCAGTGGTCCGTGGGCATGAATTTAAGCAGTGCAGTGAATGCTTTCTAGCTCAGCAGTAACTGCAGGGATTTGGGATCTTTTCACATCTGCTGTATAAAGGAGAATGTGCTTTAGGCCTTTCACTGCTCCCTGTTTTTCAGCTAAGCGTATCTTTTGGTGCACACCTAAGCAGATACAGCTTCTGATCTTCAGAGCTTGCTCATTGTTTCTTGTATTCACAATTTCTGTGCATGTAAGGTACTCATTCTATCTGGGTATGAAGAAGTTCTTAATATAATTGAACTTCTTTAAGAGGTCACAGGAGGAACTTGCAGTCACTTTATGGTTAAAGGTATTTAGGACATATGGGAGGCACTGTGCATGTTTCTGCAGGAGGCTAGCAATTATGTTTCCACAGAGGAATGGAAGATCTCAGTGTGGTGAAGATTGAAGTTGACACTTTCACCCTTGGGAACCGGCAACCTCAGAAACATAGAATCATAGAATCATAGAATCACCAAGGTTGGAAAAGACCTAAAAGATCACCCAGTCCAACCATTCACCTATTCCCAATAGCTCCTACTAAACCATGTCCCTCAACACAACATCCAGCCTTTCCTTGAACACCCCCAGGGTCGGTGACTCCACCACCTCCCTGGGCATCCATTCCAGTGCCTGACCACCCTTTCTGAAAAGTAATACTTCCTCATGTCCAGCCTGAATCTCCCCTGCCGTAGCTTGAAGCCATTCCCCCTGGTCCTATCACTAATGACACAAGAGAAGAGGCCGACCCCCAGCTCACTACAACCTCCCTTCAGGAAGTTATAGAGAGCAATGAGGTCTCCCCTGAGCCTCCTCTTCTCCAGGCTGAATGGTGCATCATGAGTGCATCCGGGTCTGGGACCCCAGCACAAGGACGACACAGAGCTTTTAGAGAGGCTCAGAGGAGGGCCACAAAAACGATCACACTGTGGAGCACCTGTACTATGAAGAAAGGCAGAGGCAGCTGGATTTATTCAGCATGCAGAGGGCTCTGGGGAGACCTCACTGGAGCTGTGGGTGCCCCATCGCTGGAGCTGCTCAAGGCTGGGTCGTGTGGGCCTTGGGCAGCCCGAGGTGGAGGGGGGCAGCCAGCCCATGGCAGGGGCCGGGCAGGTGGGCTGTGAGGTTCCTTCCAACCCAACTGCTCTGTGATTCTGTTTTTTTGCCATCCCAAGTTTAAGCTCGCGTCCATGCCTGTCGAGGGAGCTGTTATTACTGCGGTACGGAACTAAACGAATCCTGTAACCAAACACGTCTGTGGATTTGGATAGTCCTGGGGACGGCTTTTGACAGCCACCACACAGGTTGCACGCAGAAAGCACGGACTGAAGCGCCGTCAGTAGCGTGGTGATGAGACCCGCTGCAAGCATCGCGGGAAGCCGCAGCCCCGAGGCTGGGCACAGCGGCTGTAAGGGAAGGCTGCGGCGCTGAGCGCGGAGGTGCAGTGCTCATCTCGGGCCGCTCCCCGCGGCAGGGCGCCGTGCGGTGGGTGACTCAGGCCCGCCAGGGCTCCCGGGCAGGCTTTTCCGAGCTTCGTGACGATCCGTTTAGAACCGCTTATTAACGCTTAGTAACGCGCGGCCCCTGCGGGGCCGTTCAGCGTGAGCGGCGCCCGCTAGCGGCGCCTCCCCGTCCACGGGCAGGGCGCGGCACGGCGCGGCGCGGCACGGCACGGCGCGGCACGGCTCGACCAGCCCCTCTGCCTGGGGGCGCGGAGGAGGGCACGGCTCGTCTGAGGGCGGCGGGCGGTGCCGTCTCCCCTCACGTGACCGCCAGGCAGAGGGAGGCGGTCAGAGAGAGGCAAGATGGCCGCCGCGGCCGAGGGGAGATGAGCGGAGCTCGGCGCCCTGGTGCCCTGTGACGGCCCGCTGGGTCGGGGAGCCCCCGCACGGCCGCGCCCTGCCGGCTTCGGGGTGAGCGGGGCGGGGACGGAGCGGGGCAGAGCTGGGGGGAGGCGGGAGAGGCCGGAAGGGCTCCGGCTGCCGAACAAAGGCGCGGGGCACGGCGGGGCCGGGAGCGGGCGGCGTGCGGGGCTCGGGGGTGGCCGTTAGACTCCTCCCGGGAGCGAGGAGATGGAACGCGAAAGGACGGCTTTGTCGTCAGCTCTGGGTGCTTGGGAAAACGCTCGTGTTGCGCACGGAATGGATGTTTATTCTTTGTTCTGCAATAGCGGCTATTTAAAGTAACTCTGTGATTGAGAAACGTGCGTCTGGTCAAAACACGGCGCGCCCGCCGCCTCCGAGCTGCGGCCTCCGCCGCTGACAGGCGGCAGCCCCGCTGCGGGCCGATCCGTGCCGCCGCCGCCTCCCTGTCCCTGAGCGGCCGCGCTGCTCCCTGCTGGGCCCTTCCGGGCCCTGCCGGGGCCAGCGTGTCGGGCATGGCAACCCTGAAGCGGTGGTTTGGAGGGCCGAGCGCGTTCTATTGTACAGGATAAGTTTTTTTGTGTGTGTGTTTGTTTTTTTTCTGGAACACCTCACTGTGCACCGAGCGCGTTCTCGTTCTGCCTTAGAGGCAGAGCAGTTTCTCTGCTGAGGTGTAAAGCCCGTTGCCAGCGTTGGGATTTAACCTCCAGTCTGTATTGTGTTCAGTAACGAGTCTCATCCCTACGGTATTTGGCACCTGGAGTGTTGGTTGGGTTGGTTGGGATGGTTTGCTTGTTTGCAGCTTCACCATATTTCCAACTCTCTAGAGCTGGAGAAGTGATGGGGGTGTAGGTTGTTTACAGAAGCTTTCTTCAGGTTTCTTTCTTCCTCTGGCTGCCAGAAGTTGGTATTTTAGAACCTCGTTTCAGCTGTTTCAGAAATGTTATTTAAGTGAAATCTTGGCAGTCCCAATAGAAGGAGTACTTAAAGATATCAGTCGCTTCATGTCATTTTACGTCTGGCTTGTCAGCTATTCCGATGTTTATTAAATACGCATGTTAAGTAATAAGGTGTCGTGAAGGATTGATAATGCAGTTGAGAGTAACGATGTTTCTATAAATCAGCAAATTTTTGCAGTCTTCCCAAAGCAGTGATAACGTGTGTTTCAGTGCAGGAGGGGAGAGGTGGTTAATCCAAACCCAAACAGCTTAACCCTTGTGCAAACGTTACCTTCAGCTGACCCTCTGTGCTCTGAATGCATCTTGTCCTCTCTTGGTTTGTTCTCTGTGTCCAAAAGCACTGGGCTGTGCCATCGCTGGGTATTGTGAGCATTCCAAGCTCAGAAGGTTGGATTAGGAATAAGGAAGTTTGTTGGCTGAGAACTGGCTGGCATTAGTGGGGGAAATCAAAGTGTATCAGTTTCCACATAGGTTCTTGGATTTAAATGATAGAAGCTTGGGATTGTGAAAATACTTGCTCTGTGTCTGAAAGCAAAATAAATGCTTTAAATGAAGCACGTTTATGACTGTCTATGTATTGGGTGCTTTGAGGGTTGGCAGGGATTAAGTTCTCATTCTCTCTTTTGGAAAAGGAAGTGCTGTTGACGTTTGTGTTGGCAGTGTGCATTTCTTGCTGTATGACCACATGCTTCAGGAGCCTTGCTCTTAGAGAAGTGTTGTGCTTCAACACAGAATGACCTTATTTTTCTAGCCATGGCCACAGTCTTGATCCAAAGCATTTATGGTAATTTAAAAGAAATCTAAAGCACTGGAAGAAACCCCGTCTTACTGCTGAGCACCCCTACAGTCTGCATAATTTCCATAACAGTAATTAATCTTATTACATAGTAAAGTGGGCCTTGCTTATTGGGCTCCACTTGCGCTGAGTTGCTGCTGTGAGTTAAAATACCACACACAAACTTCAGCCTGATTTCAGGCATGTTTATTGAAGCAAGTAAAAAATAAAAATAAAAATCAGTTATGTTTTTAGAATGGATGTTGCTGTTCTTCTCCACAGTCCTTTCCTAGAGCCTGCGGTGGCCTTAGTCCTTAGGAGCTCCAGAAGCCTTGCCTGAGAAGTGCCATATAAACGCATGGGGTATGAAATCCAGGTGTTTATGTTGGATTTCATTGTTCTTGATTCATAAAATGGACCGTTACCTGTTCTAAGAAGGGCCTGCTTTGTGACAGTGAAGCGTAACGAAGACTGGTAGTGTCACCCATAGAGATGGCTCACCCCAATGGCTTTTCTCATGTACAAACAAGGAACATTAACATAGGGTTTGCAGAAGCAGCTCCAGGTGCGTGTTTTAGAGTGTTGTGCTGTGAGCCAAAGGTTTCGGTTACACCTGAGGGCTCATGCCAGAGGTGAGGCAGCAGCTGTGCATCCGTGATAACTGGGAGTTCCAGCAGCATTGCTGGAGCAGAAACTTATCTGTAAGGCAGCAGGGCTGCCTTTGCCTTTTTGAATTAGAGCAGTGAGGAACATGAAGCAAAGAGCTCTGCTTTGAAGCAGAAGGACTGCTGAGTTCTTTTTTTTCCTTTTCACACCAGCTGAGAATTTACTGACTGAACTTTGCTTGCAAATGCATTGTGTAATTTCTCTGTAAGACGTGGCTATTGTGTTTAGCATGTGATTTTAAACATATCCTCAGTTTACTGTATGTGGAAAGTAGGGTGAGAGCTGAGGCTGCAGGAAGGAGCTGGGGTGCTGCTCAGGGGTAGTGGAGTGAGAGCGAGCGGTGAGTTGGGTTGTGTGGGCTTCTGTCAGGATGTGTACAAAGGATAGAGGGAATGTGAATGTGAACATGGAGTGGCATCTTGATTACCTGATAAGCTCCGCGCCATTGGCACAGGGCTGGGAAGTCCAGATGGGTTGGGAGGGAAGCTGCTTCTGTGGCATTTCTGTAGCTAAAATGACAGTAAGTACTCAAGTGCAGGTACTGAATCCCTGTAATCACTCTGCTTCCTTTCAGTCTTCCACTTTTGGTGTGCTTTGGTGTTGTTTTTTTTTCTTTTGTTAAGTTTGCAGCCTCTCAATTAGCTTTTCCTCCTACGAAAAACAAAAACCCACAACTCAGACAGCAGAACAACCAAACCAATTGCATGCTCCCACTGCTGTGCTGCTGCTTACCCCCCTCTGCTCCGTGGTACGTGCTGAGCACACCATGCCTTTTGGTTTCTGACTTTTCTTGTGGGAGGGGCCGTGTGTTTGTGCAGTGCCTATGGAAACTGGGCGTTGTGTGCCAAGTCTGGGCTTCTTTGGAACAGATTTGAGGTTTGGGTCTTAAATAGTGTCTGAGTGACGTTTTTTGGTTCATGTATTTTGCTTGGCCCGTGGAAGTCTGGAGCATGGAGAGCTCAGGTGCCTAAATCTGCTTTGGAATTTGATCTTGAGATTGCAGCCTGGATTTGAAGCCTGGGTTTAAGGGTGTGATTTACATTCCTGCTTCTCCTCTCTTCTCCCTTTGTTCTGCTGTACCTACAGTTTATGTAGCTTCACAGCAAGTCTTCTGTTCCTTAGTGCTGTCTCTTAACCAAGAGCACTCTCCCATCTTGCATGTCAATCGACAGAAGCCGTGTTGTGTTTGAGTAGGAAGATGACAACGTGCAGGCATGTCTGGATCAAGTTGCTGAAAACTTGCTTGATAAATGGTGCTCTTCAAAGTCCTGTGTGACTGTAATTGAGGTTATTATCACTATTTGATAATGTTGAGTGGTCTCGTTGTTGTGCTTATCTCCATAAGGGTTGCACTGTACACAACTAGTGTATATGTTGCATATATCTGTAGCCGTACAGATATTCCCACAGTGTTATGTATGCAGAAACATTTATGTGTGTGAAAGACTGCTGTGTGTTGCATTCATAGTTCCCATTTGGCCAGAACCTAAAAAATAAAGAAACTTTTGTTGCTGAAACCTAGAGAAATTATGCAGTTGCCTTTTCATTATAATGCAGTGTTTGATCTCTAAAGTATTTTATTTAGGAGACTAATGGAGCTTTGTACACGACTACTGATGTATTGACGTGTACAATTTCTGTTTTATAATGTCAGAATTAACTCATGGCCTTTACTTATGCTTTCTTATTATTTTTTTAATACAGATAAGCTTTGTCACAGAAGCATTCTAAATACTGTGTGAAGATGGCAAGTCTGATGAATCAGAGTCTGCTGACCTATGCAGAAGAAGGAAATGTTCCTGCTCTGAAAGCACTGCTGGAGAAATGCAGGGATGTAGATGAGAGAAACGAGGTAAGGTGGATTTTGAAAAGGTTGTTTCATACTTCAGCTTTTTTTATTAAGTAATGAGTAGAATCAGTGAGACCACGCTAGTAAATACAAAAATGTCAGCTTTGTTTTCAGCTGTTTGCTTACCTTTGCACAGACTGAGCATACAGTTCAGTGTCTGCGAGCTCTTCAGCATCCTTAGTTGTAATTGTTTTCTCAGTGTTCTTCTGAGCTGGAAAATGCAGATCTGTGCTTAGTTTGTGGATGGAGATGCTATCTGCAGCTGGGAATTGTTTCTAAGTTCACAGAGGCAGTTATGTGTACCTCATGGTTGAGCTCATTTCATGGTTAGATCAAGGTGCTCAGGGACTTAGAGAGAAATCTGGAAGTGCTAAGGATGGAAGTCCTGCGTCCCCTCAAGTCAGCATTCTAATGCTTAACCACTCATTGCTTAGAAATGTTTCTTCTGATATCTTTGCATTGGAGAAGGTAATTGCTGGACATGGGTATGGTTTGCATCAGTTTCAAACCCATGAGGAAGGTTTGCACTGGGGAAACGACACACTGTTTATATGCATCAATATCAGGAGTTTTGTTTAAATGTTAGCTCTTCTTTGGAATTCAACAGCATTGAGCGCAATTCTGTTTCTAGTTTTGAACTTGCCAGGACCTTCTCTTCCCTCTCCCAGGAGTTGGGTAAGAACAGAACAACAGAACAGAATGCCTGCCAGCCCCAGGGGGGCATGTCTGCAAAGACTGCTGGCAAGGCAAGGCTTGTCAGTGCCAGGACCTCCCTGGTGGCAGTGACTTGCCTGAGGGTGAGCTCTGGAGAAATAAGCCTTTCCACTGCTTCTCATTGGCAGCTGGTAACTGGGATCTGAACTTTATAGTCTTCAGTAGTTTGGGGCCTTTTATTTTTTAGTATATATGCATAATTTGTGTCACTTCTCAATGCATCGCTTTTTACGTGTCGTTTTAATTGCAGAATGGCCAGACTCCACTCATGTTGGCTGCTGAGCAAGGCAATTTAGAAATTGTCCAGGAGCTTCTCAAGAAAGGAGCTAATTGCAACTTGGAGGATGCAGTAAGTATTAGCACTGTGTGTTGCAGTACCTAACCACAGAGGGAGAAGAATGCTGAACGCTGCTGCTGATTTTTTTTTTTTTTGTAGGGAAATGGTACTGTAAAAAGGAATTACAATGATAGTGTTGGCTGTCATTGAAATGAGAGGACAGGTGAAATAGAGCAATATTGCATCTTGATCTTGCGTCTTGAGTTGATATCCAAGTGATTTTTCTTGTGGCATTAGTGATGTGGTCTGTTAGGCTTGTTTTTTGTTTGGTTTTTGTGTTTCTCAGAAAATACTGAGGGAGAATTTAGGTTAAAGGATTATTGCACATGAAAGCCAGAACAGAGACAAGTAGAAAAGAGGGCCTGCAGCCACCTGAAGTAGCAGCAGAAGGAAGTCGGATCCCCCCTGTAGCAAAATCACAGACAAAAGAGGCAGGGCGCTGGTCGAGACTCCCCTGTACGTTAGCTCCTTGGGTGCTGGCATTCATTGTATGGAAACGGGCCACCCCATTTTCTGTGCTGCTAGTCACTGTCTGCTCCTGGCCAGCAGTTCTAGGTGACTTTGCATTATTCACTTCTTAGGTTTTGCTTCTCCTGTAAAAGTGTTAAGAAATTAATCTGTAGTGAACTGAGGAGTGGAGGCTGATAGGAGAGGGGTGGAGATGATTTGCAGTCTGTAATTCCAGTTTTATAACTGTCAGGGTACTTACAAGTTTTTATGTGTTATCTTAAAAGATAACTTCAAAGAAGTTGTGCGTTTTCTGTCATGCAAATTTACACTTGAAAAACAATGCAGTGGTTGTTACAATCTTGTAGTATTAAGCCAGTATTGTAATACTGAATATTGCTTGTTATTTTTCCTTTTTTAGGATAACTGGACAGCTCTAATTTCAGCAGCTAAAGAAGGACATGAAGCCATCATAGCAGAACTTCTCAGTTATGGTGTCAATTTGGAGCATAGGGATTTGGTATGTGTTATCCTGTTGTGAGACTGAAAGATTTTTGTATTTTAGTGACAGGAACAATTTAGGATGTTAGAAATGTTCATTTATTAAAAGCATTGATCTCTTATTCTTCTACTATGTACTGTATCAATGCTGCTATAATGGAAAATATTTAAATGCTGTTATCACAGTGGTTTTCTTGTGTGTCTCTCTTACCATTCCTTGGTTAATATTTTTGTAAAATGTTACTCCTTTGGATTAGATGTTAGGAGGAAGTTTTTCACACAGAGGATGGTGATGCACTGGAACAGGTTGCCCAAGGAGGTTGTGGATGCCCCATCCCTGCAGGCATTCAAGGCTCTGGGCAGCCTGGTCTGGTGGCTGGCAACCCTGCATATAGCAGGGGGTTGGAACTGGATGATCATTGTGGTCCTTTTCAACCCAGGCCATTCTGTGATTCCTTTTCAGAAGCTGCCTCTTTGTATCTGCTTTTGATGAGTGCAGCTGTGATGGCCCATCCAGCAGTCCTTGTCCTCAGTATGCTGGCACTTGATTTCATTTATTTTGCTGAATTTTTTATGTGGAAAAGTGAAGTCCAGTCACCTGAAGAATTGGAGAAATAGCTTGCATGTTTAATGAAGAAGGTTAGAGTGCTTGGTTGCTAGTTTGTAGAGCTACAAATGTCTCTCTTGACAGAAGTGAAAGCTGGATACCCCTCAGATAACTAGTTTTGTTCTGCTTGAATTGGGAAACCACTAAGAGACTTCAAGTGCTTCCCTTAATTGCGATTTCACTCTGAAGAGTGAGGCATGCTGCCATGTCGCCTGCTTGGCAAGCACTGTGTTTCTAGGCCTGTGTCAGTCTGAGAGGGACCTTGACCTTGGAAAATATCTACCAGAGAGTAATAAAAATTGTGCTTGTAATTAACAGAGGCATTGCTTTAAAGTTAGCTTTGGTTACCTGACCTAACACATGCCTAAGATGATGAAACCTCTTTGTTTCCGTGTTTACAAACTGAAATGACCGCATCTGTAAGGTTTAAAGCTAACTGCTCTTAACTGCTCCCTTATAAGGACACATGGCATCTGTCAGGAAGGAGGGAGTCATTATGTAGTTACTTGGAGTAGGACACGTAGGTGTCTGTTAGACAAATCAAAAGTAAGTCCTTCAGGTTGATTGATTTGAATTCTGGCCTTTTGTTTTAAAGTAATTTGTTCTTTTTGTCCAGTCGTTGGTTTGTATGCAATTGAAGTTTGAGTGATGTGTTCACAGAAAATCAGGAATGTTTGAGGTGCAGTACTCTGCCAGGCTTTGCACACAGCGGGAAATCAGTGTTTGCACACATGCATTTGTAACATAAGTAGGATTATAAGGTTGTGGAGTCAGTCCTTGTTACATTTTAGACTTGAAGAATGGCAAGTTAAGTAACAGTCTACAATTAGGTTTCTAGAGAGTATTTTTCAGTGATAGTGTCTGTTTGAATTGTGCTTGCCAGGGAGGATGGACTGCTCTGATGTGGGCTTCGTATAAAGGCCGTACTGAAGTAGCAAAGCTGCTGCTCGAGAAGGGAGCAAATCCAAACATCACTGGCATGGTAAGTGTTTGCCTTAAGAACCATCTATTTTCTGTTCCCCAGCAAGATGTTTAACATCTGGAATCCTAATATTACCTTGATTAGCATCTTCGACAGTATAATATTAATCATTGTACTTTATTAATGGAAGTAATTGTTTTGATTTTGTATGGCAGCCACTATTTTTTTAATTAAAGTAATTAAATGAGTACCTCTTAGTAAGGTTCAGATCAGTAGGAGAGGAGATAATAGAGGAAATCAATAGTGTATGTAATCTTGCTTGCCTAACCATTGTCATTTTTCTGCATCTGTGTAAGTTAATGGAGTAACTAATCTGCTAGGTTAGAAACAATTTGTTTTAATTGTTCCGTAAGTTACCAATTGAGCTAGATTGTAGAGTGATGTGCCATAATTGTGAGACAGAATTATGTAGTTAGGATTTTGAAATTTATTTCAACTTATAAGCATTGTTATTAAAGATATATATATACACATACACATGCATCTTGACAGGTGGTTTCTTGACATTTGAATGACAACATAAGCAAGTTGGTGGCTGATGCAGTAATGACTGCTAAAGGGAAAACCAGTAGCCACTTCCCGTCCCATTCTGATTCTTCTTTGAGTATGGAGCTTCTTGCATGGCACGATTGATCTGCAGTGTTGATTACTTAGGGAGTAAAGCATAACTGATTTGATTTTTCTCTTCCATTACAAACGTGAATGTGAATTTTTAAGCCTTGTTTAAGGAGTTAGAAAATCGTTTCAAAACAGCAGCCTCTTTTTAGCCATCATCTACACAGTGTGCTAGGAAACATTATATGTTATTGGATTTATTCTGTGTATTCCTTCTCCTGCGAGTTCATCACCTCCCAGAGTACTGTGATCAGTACATCAATAACGTGTTTGAAAAATTAAAAGCAGTATTCATCCTTGTGGTTCATCCTGTATTCTTTTTCTTCCAAGCAATACAGTGTTTATCCAATTATTTGGGCAGCAGGACGGGGCCACTCAGATATAGTCCATCTCTTACTGCAGCATGGAGCTAAAGTGAACTGTTCTGACAAAGTAAGTTATGTTTTTGTGAGATTTCATTTCATTAAGGATTGGTACATTTCTTGTACCAATGTACCATGTAAAAATGAATTGTGTTCTTTGCCTGTAGTATCTGAAAATGATTGCAGTAGTTTAAATATCTATCTGTCTATAAATAAACGTGTCAAGTAGTTTAATGTTTGACATTATATTTTGCTCATAAGCTTAGAATTAGTGTAATTGAGTAAGTCATTATAAATGCTGGAAGTTTTTCCCTAGGATGGCTGTGAACACTTGTTTCAGTGGAAGGTATTTCTGTTCTTTGCATAGACTAATAGCTTTTATTGCTAGAATCTTTAGGAAAAAAAATGTTAGTGGCTTTTCAGATACATGTATCAATTTTTTATGATGAAGTTTTGTCTTTGTAATAGCAAATGACTTAAGCATAGGATGAGTACTAAAATGTAGGAGATACTAAATATGACAAAATGTTTTGCAATACTTTTGCAGTATGGAACCACCCCATTGGTGTGGGCAGCTAGGAAAGGCCATTTGGATTGTGTGAAATACTTGCTGCAAATGGGAGCTGATGTTGATCAAGAAGGAGCTGTAAGTAACTGCTTGTTTTCCAGTGAAAGGTGGAGGCACGTACATCTGTGCTATTAACCTATGTTCAGATATTTGCAAATACAAATAAATTTAACTCAGCATGCCTTTTGAAAATGCTAGTGACAGTTACAACTTTTCTGAAGTTAGGGTTGGCTGGTTTCTTTTTTTAAGTTTCAGTTGTGTGTTGTTTTATTTCTAATTAAAGCAGATTTCATTATTTAGCAATTTAAATAACAAGTAATTGAAAATATTGGTTCAAACTAAATAAAACTGAATGGAAAATTATGTAGGACAGCTTTTGTTATTTGTATGATTATTTCTGAAGTTCGTATTAAAAACAAACAAACAAACAAAAAAAAAAAAACCAAAAAAAAACAAGAAAACCCAACTCTTTCTGAATGGTGTTGACACCTTGATAGTAGATAAAATAAGATGGATTTCAACCAGGACCAAGTGATGGGTCCTGCACTTTGGCTACAACAACCCCAGGCAACACTAGTGCCTGGAATACTGAGGCAGAAATGGACCTGGGGCAGTTGGTCAGCATTCAGCTGAACATGAGGCAGTGGTGTGCCCAGATGGCCGAGAAGACCAATGGCATCCTGGCCTGCATTAGAAATAATGTGGCCAGCAGGAGCAGGGAGGTGATCATCCCCTGTACTCAGCACTGGTGAGGCCGCACCTCGAGTGCTGTGTTCAGTTTTGGGCCCCTCACTGCAAGAAAGACATTGAGGCCCTGGAACGTGTCCAGAGAAGGGCAACAAAACTGATGAGGGGTCTGGAGCACAGGGCTTATGAGGGATTGTTCAGTCTGGAGGAGAGGATGCTCAGGGGTGACCTTACAGCTCTCTACGACTACCTGAAGGGAGGTTGTGAAGAGGTAGAGACTGGTCTCTTCTACTGTGTAAGTAGCAATGGGGTGAGAGGGAATGGCCTCAGGTTGCACTAGGGGAGATTCAGGTTGGATGCTAGGAAAAACTTTTTCACCAGAAGAGAGTGGTCAGGCACTGAAATCACAGAATCACAGAATTGTAGGGGTTGGAAGGGACCTCCAGAGATCATCGAATCCAACCCCCCTGCCAAAGCAGGTTCCCTACAGCAGGTCGCACAGGTCGGCATCCAGGCAGGTCTTGAACATCTCCAGAGAAGGAGACTCCACCACCTCCCTGGGCAGCCTGTTCCAGTGCTCCGTCACCTCACTGTAAAGAAGTTCTTGTGCACATTTGTGCAGAACTTCCTATGCTGCAGCTTATGTCCATTTCCCCTTGTCCTGTCTCCACTCACCACTGAAAAGAGTCCGGCCTCACCACTATGGCCCCCACACCTCAGATATTTATAGACCTGGATCAGTTCCCCTCTCAGTCATCTTTTTTCAAGGCTAAAAAAATGTGCTGCCCAGGGGGGTGGTGGAGTCACTGTCCCAGCAGATGTTCAGGGAACGTTTAGATGTTGTACTGGGGGACATGGCTTAGTGGGAAATATTGGTGATGGGTGGACAGTTGGACTGCATGATCCTGGAGGTCTGTGTCAACCTTGGTGATTGTAATAATACTAAATTCTCATGTGGCAGGAAGGTGATTGCACAGTGCCTATGATATTCAGAAGTTCAATTAAATGGAACTTTTCCATTTGCATTTAAAACGTTTTCTTGTTGTAGTGTTAGTATCTCTTTTCTTCTTCCTCTTTCCATTTTAGCTTTTTATTTTTTAGTGCAAAGCATAAGCATGGTATATGAACATCAGGATGTAAAGCTAAGGAAATATTTGGATCCCTAACAAAGATGCATCATCGGGTATTTTTCTGTTATTTAAGCTGATGCAGTGATGGGTTCTATATTGTCTGTAGAACAAAACCTCTTTATTTGTTTGTTCACAGAATTCGATGACTGCACTTATTGTGGCAGTTAAGGGTGGCTACACCGACTCGGTGAAAGAAATCCTGAAAAGGAACCCAAACGTGAACTTAACTGATAAAGATGGAAATACAGCTTTGATGATTGCGTCAAAGGAAGGGCATACGGAGATTGTGCAGGATCTTCTCGATGCTGGAACTTACGTGAATATTCCTGACAGAGTGAGTAAACTTTCTTACCATTTAAAAACCAGTGTATGGAGTGCAAATGTGTGGGTACGTTTTGTAATGTTTCTGCCACCCAGAGGTGTTTCCGTGTATTGCAGTGCTGCAGCTATTTGAAGTGGCTGCCGTAACAGAGGGGAAGTAAAATCACTTTTTAAAATGAAACAGCTCCAAAAACTTTGTGCTGGTGTGCAGCTTTGGGGTGGTTTTTTTGTATATTAATATTCATGATCATGCTATTAAAATAGTAAACGGATACTGGAAATAATAATATATTTCTTTCAATGCCACCCCTCATCTTTAACATTTAAAAAACATTTTATTAGGGAAATTCCATATACGAGAGGAAGACTTCCACTGAGACACATAGATGTGATGTGTAGATGCACTGTGTACCTCTGAGCAGCTAGAGTGAGAATTACACTGGCCACTCAGGCCTTTTTTCCGTTGCTTACATAGATATGCTTTGGACTGTTTGCAGTGCTGCCTTGAGTTCATTGTTTTCTGAAGTGGCAGAGGCAGCAGTGCAGCCAAGGGCATAATAGAGGCTTAGATACCTAAATTTAGGTGCCTCTGTCAAGATTATGATTTTATTTCAGGGTAGTGACATGGTTTTAAGGTGTTATTATCCTAAATTGTGTTTCAGTCCAAAAGTGAATTCCTTGAGGGCTGCAGAGGGATGAGAAAAACTTCCTTGTATTTGTTGTGTAATTTTAAAAGGAGTTTTGGATGCATTTTCCCATATTTCATGTCTCAGCTTTATGCATATAGTAGATGATTTTGTGCTGAGCTGCAGTGCTGCATTGGACAAAGACTTTGATCCAGACTACATACCAAGGCAAAACTTAAAACGTTTAAGAAAATATATTTAGAATCTCCCTTTCCACCTTTTCTTTAACAAGATGCTGCAGCTGTGTATTTTTCTGTGCTTTTGGGAGGAATAAATGACAACTTACAGTGCAGATGCATTCCAAAATACGTCAGACAACAAGTAGTTCTAGTTTCAAACTGTAGAGTAGATTTTGAAAAAGGAAAATCTCTTGTTTGCCAGCCAGATGCATAATGACTGCAGTTGATAGAGGACCTGTTACTGCTCAGGTTTATAACTGATTTCCACGTCTGTGATTTAGCTGTACTTTCATTTATTTTTCTTGTTCTGTGATAAAATAATTATTAAAGAAGTCATTTCAGGATTTCACTTTCTGAAATGATGATGGATTCTTAAGTGTGTTAAAGTGAGAAGCCTTAAGCAAAACTGTAACTGTTTTACACTTTTGTAACTCAATTTACCACAGCAAAATAACTTTTCTTTCAATTAATTAGAGCTGAAACCAGCCTTTGGCTTCTTTGCTCTCTTATGACAGAATGTAAACTGGGTAGCAGTCAAGTCTGTGCATACACACTCAGTCACTCCAGAGAAATCTTGAAAATCCTTTGTCATTTTTGAATGTCCAAAGAAGGCAGCCAACATTCCAGTCTGATTTTAAAGAGGTTATTACTTATGGGGAGCAACTCTGTGTAAGGGCAGGTAGTGATGGGGCAAGGGGAAGTGGTTTTAAACTGGAAGAAGGGAGATTTAGACTAGATATTAGGAATAAATTCTTTACTGTGAGGGTGGTGAGACACTGGAACAGGTTGCCCAGTGAGGTTGTGAATGTCCCCTCCCCTAGAAGCATTCGAGGCCAGGCTGGATGGGGCTCTGAGCACCCTGGTCTGGTGGGAAGTGTCCTCACCTATAGCAAGGGGTTGGAACTGGATTATTTTAAAGGTCCCTTCCAACCCAAACCATTCTATGATTTGGTGATTGCCGTGAGTTTTAGTTGTCTTATGAACATAGAGAACAGCTGATCTTCTTCCTCCCCATTAGTAGTTCAGGCTTTAGTTGTTTAAGATGGGTATGCATTCCTTGGATGTTTGTTTTGCCCATGAGTCTGTTATACTTAATCTCTTTGCAAAAAACAAAATATATGTACAGCTGTATATCTGTTATTTTCAATCAGAGATTGAAAGTTTTGTTTTGGCTGTTCAGTTTTTTAATTTGGTTTTTTTTTTTTTTTTTTTTTCATCTTTCTTTTAAAAAGTGCACAGGCACAATGTCTCTTTGGAGGCTGTCATTATTTTTCATGTTGGCTTTCCTTTTTTGCTGAACAGAGTTAATTCACCTTCAATATTCTTTCACAATTTTTCCAGAGCGGAGACACGGTGCTGATTGGGGCTGTTAGAGGAGGTCATGTTGAAATTGTCAGGGCCCTGCTCCATAAGTATGCTGATATAGACATCAGAGGTCAGGTAAGTACAACAGTGTACATGTCACATCCTCCTTAAATAGGTTGTGAATCTGGATATCAAACAATTACACTATGTGTCTAAAAACAGGGCTTTAAAAAGCTTTTCAAATTCTGCTCTATAGGGAGCTCAGCTTCCCGTCGAATGGTAAAAATGTCGTGTTGCAGTGCAGTCTTAAAGACTGAGTGTATGTAACTGTAATGGTGTGCTAAGCAGAAACTTTTAGCTGCTGTTCATAATGGTTGAAATGCAAAGGATGTAAACAGAACTTACTCCACCAGCACTGCTGATGAAATAAAGGTTTAAACAGATCTAAAATAGTGTGAAGTATTTTAATACACTTAATATTCTAATATTTGGTACTTTTTATACTGCCAACAGGGGTATCATATCAACGTAGTATTAGTAATGCTAAGCCAGTCACGTCCCTGTATTTGATTGGTTCCCTCTTTAGCAAACTTCCTTGCTGCAACAAGCAGTTATTGGCAGTGGATTCTGTATTTTCTGCTTGTCCTTCCTTTCCATTTTTGTCCTTTGTGTAGGGTTCTGTTAGTACTCTTCCAAAAGCTCTCTTAGCTGAGCTCAGCACTTTTATTTTATGTTCAGCTTGCTTTCTTCTGTGGTGTTCTGGAAGCATTGCTGAGTTCTGCCTGGCCTCCTAGCTCACGTGTTCTTTGTGCTCCATCCCCACGGATACTGGGAGCTCAGGGGAGACCCTGAGCAGATAGAAAGTGACTTTAGGGTTTTGTGAACTAGTGCTTGGCAAATGAAGAGGAGCTCAGGTGAAAGGCTTAGCTGTGAGCATCCAATAGACCAGAGTCTGGCTTTGCAGCTGATGTTAGCAAGGAATCAGCTTCCCCACCTTGGTGTCCTGTTGGAAGCTCATGGCTCAGGAAGAGGTGACCTCTTCCTCAGGAAAAGAGGAAAGAAAGCTCAGTGAGCAGGTTTGTTTAACTGGTGAGAAGGGCTTTAAAGTCAGTTTGCTGTGAAGCCCAGAAGTGAGAGAGGAAGAGCTGCAAATGAAAGTACGGTTGGAGCTGTAATGGCTGCTTAGAAGCAAGTTTGTGTTTAGAGTCCTTTCTTGAAAATGCCTCTACGCACATATGCCTCAAAAAGAAACTAGTTGCAGGGCAGTTGCCACTACAGGCTACAAAAAGGTGCAGTCAGAGGTTTCCTGGGTTAGTATGTGTTACTGGGGAGAGAGGAAGGAAAACATAATGTAAGGAGATTTGCAGCTGTCAACCTTCCCTCCTGCTTCAGTGATGTGTTGTGTGGCTGATCTGCATTCTGATGCTTTGTGTTGACCTTCACGTCTGTTTACAGCTTTCCAATGTGAATGTTGTTCTTTTGTTGTAACAACCAACCAGTCCACCAGTACACTGGTTTTATTGGCTATGCCATAAAGAAGATCTTTCTGGACTTTTCCTTTTTAGAGGCTCCATTAAAACGAGAACCCCTAAGCAAACAAAAAACAGAGAAACATAAATACTACATAACAGATGAAGAAAAAAAAGTTGTTTTATTTTGTTAGAAAATCTATGTATTTGAGTTACAACTGAAAACCCATGTATAGTTTTTGGAGACGTGTTTTGGAAGCTGTTTCAGGGCAAATTGGCTCTCTTAGGTTGCTAGAGCTCTCAAGATATTCCCTTCTGGTTTTTAAAATAGATTTTGTATTCTTTAGCCAGATTTCCCCACCACGTTCCACTGGTATCAATTAGAGTTGGTAGCATTTCCATTTGCCCTGAACTATACTAAAATTTGCTGATTTGTGTGCTGTTTTCAGTATAGTGATTGCATTTTATATTGGTTTTGAAATTAATCCTATAGTATTAAAGTGCTGCTTTTTTTTTTTTTTTTTTTTTTTTTTTAGGATAATAAAACTGCTTTATATTGGGCAGTTGAGAAAGGAAATGCTACAATGGTGAGGGACATCTTGCAGTGCAACCCTGATACTGAAACGTATACAAAGGTAAGCATGAGAGTTTTGAGAGCATGATTTGCTTTGTTTAACATCTTCTCTCAATTCCCAGATGATGTTAAGATCACAGAAACTTACGATTTTTGGTATTATGAAGTATGAATATCTTGGGTGCTGTTTAAAATAAATAACTTATTTTTTCCTTCTTTCTGAAATACACAATTTCTTTTCAGTGATGTTAATGTCCACTTGATCACTTGCTAACTGGAACTATGAGTATCTGCCCATACTTTACCTCAGCACAGCTGACACTACCAGCAGCAAGCTGGTACTGGGAAGTCTGAGAAGAGCCTTCTGGTATTACTAAGCTTGGTTAAGTTCATCATCCAGTGAATGAAAAAAATATTATTTAAAAAAAAAAAAATAGGGAAATGTTACATACAGAAGTGATTTGCCTCTCCTCTCAAATATCTTTCATTGTATCTCTGTCCACTCTTTCTCTATGTGATGCTTAGCAGAAATGCATTCTGCACACGTGGTTTTTTGCTGCTGTTCAGTCAATCTCTAGTAGTGATTCTTTTTTGAGCACAGGCATGCTGAAGGGTTGTTACCTGCAAAATAACATTTATTTAGAAAATTATCACATTGTAGGATTTGATTTGTTGCACTGTTGCTGCTTTTTGTTTGTTACTGAGTATACAAGGAAGGTTTAGTGTGTGTTTGTTTCGTTTTTAAATTGGGCTTTGCTTTTACTTTCAGGATGGAGAAACACCACTTATCAAGGCAACCAAAATGAGAAATATTGAAATAGTGGAGCTTCTTCTGGACAAAGGAGCTAAGGTCTCTGCTGTAGACAAGGTAAAGAATATGTATGTGTTCATTTACTCAGTATATTTAATCATTTTTGTTTTGCAACCAAATTTTAATGTGAACTGCTGAGGCTAAAACAGAAATAGGTTTTATTGCAGTCATGTGGATGGAGATTCTGTGTCAGGAATAAGAATTTCACAGAGAAATACTGATCATTAATGTGCTCAAAAAAGAGTATAGATCTGGTTATGTTAATTGCCAGTCACTTTTCAATTTTGATTATCAGCCACTAAACTAAGCAATGCCGAAGGTGGATAACAACGATTTGTTACTGACCTCTCGTGTTACCTACTTTGGTAAACCTCTTAAGTACTGGGGTATTTATTTGATACTGTTGGCACCTCTTAGAACTTAGTCTTATATCTCAGGCACAGAAGAGGTATTTTGGATTTGGTGTAATAAGGAAACTTTAAAGTTTTTTTTGAGAGATCTGTGCAGGCATTGAAATAATTCTCCTATTCCATACAGGTCTCTGAATTTGCTAGCAGACACTTGTTTTCTGAGTAGAGACTGCGCTTTCCATGAACGTTGAAAGAGGACAATGCCTTAATGCATTATGAGGCCTTTACCTTTGCACTTGTGTTTTGTTTTGTTTTTAACTTTAGAATACTTCTTCAAGGGGGGAAAAAAGCTGACTGTAAGGTTTAACGCTGTAAAGAGTTCCTTAAGGTGTACTGCAAGTACATAATGCGTTTGGAGGGGTGTGGAGCGTGTTTTCTGTGTGATGGGACTTAGTAGGTCAGGTTGGTGGTCAAAAGTGATAATCCTGAAGATCTTTTCCAACCTAAATGATTCTCTGATTCTGTGACATTGCCTTTTCATCTTACGAATTCATGTTAGGTATTAGCAGTTGTTTTTCCTGACTTGCAGAAAGGAGACACCCCACTTCATATTGCTATTCGTGGAAGAAGCCGTAAACTCGCTGAATTGCTCTTGCGAAATCCGAAAGACGGTAGATTGCTTTATAGACCCAACAAAGCAGGGGAAACACCTTACAACATTGACTGCAGCCACCAGAAGAGTATTTTAACACAGATATTTGGAGCTAGTGAGTAAAAGTATTGGCCTAAAAGTGGTCAAACGCACCTTCTATTTTTAATCTTTGCACTGTGACATCGCATACTACACCATTTCTCTTAATCGCTTTTACTGAAGTCTTGGTTACATAGGAATTTTCTTTCTTTTGCTGTGATTTTGTTGGAGAATTTGTAGTAAGCTCTAATAGTTTTGATAATTGTATAATACATAGGTGATCAGCGTTCGTTCCAACGAGAGTGTAACACCAATACTGCTGTGTTAATAACACTAATAATTTATATGAGACGGTTATGCACACAAACATAGGTAAACCTGTCATAAATTTATGTATCAAAATTGTCATACTGATAGGATTTCTTAAAACAAAGCTCTGTAACACAGTATTTATTTTACAGGACATTTGTCTCCAACGGAATCTGATGGTGACATGCTGGGTTATGATCTGTATAGCAGTGCTTTAGCAGATATTCTGAGTGAACCAACCATGCAGCCACCTATTTGTGTGGGCTTATATGCTCAGTGGGGAAGTGGAAAATCTTTCCTGCTCAAGAAACTAGAAGGTAAAATTTGATGTAGCCTTTTCTTGTGGGTTCAGATACACCTATGGAAATCATCAAATTGGTGTTGATAGCTTTTGCAGCAGCCATTGGTTCATCTAGTGCTGTATCTGATCTGTGTACCACACCATAAATAAAAAGCAGTGTGCATTTTTCGTTTTTGAGTGTGGTGTTCATTAACTCCTCTGTATTCAGAACGCTTTTCAGCATTTCTTTCCTGCTTGTTGTTCATCTTTTTATTGTGTGGATGAACACTTCTTGCACTCCTCTTTGAAGAGGAGTTATAACTATATAACCATTATGAGTTAAGTTTCCATTGGTTTTGGTCAATATTAGGGAGAAGTTAGTGTAGGAAAAAATATCTTCAATAAATGAGGATCTGTGTAATGATTTCTGTGCCTTTTGGTCTAGAATGGTTTAACATGTTTACTGGTCTTTGTTTTTCAGATGAAATGAAGACTTTTGCTGGGCAACAGATCGAACCTCTGTTTCAGTTCTCCTGGCTGATTGTGTTTCTCACACTTTTGCTCTGTGGAGGTTTGGGTTTATTGCTTGCTTTCACAGTGGATGCAAAGCTTGGAATAGCAGTGTCACTCAGCTTATTAGCAGTGCTCTACATTTTCTTTAGTAAGTCTATTTTTATGTATTTTCTGATGGCTTTTGCTAAATATCTATTTTTAGCATTAGTTTCTGTTTTGTAGACAAGCTTTTAGAGGAAAACCTGATTTTGTGGGAAGTAAGACCTCCTTTGACCCTTTTCTTGTGTAGTACTTTGTGAGAAGATGTTCTTAAAAACAGACAAAAACCATGCATATTACCTTCACTACGTTGCTATTACCTTTCTCATTTCTGGCCATAATTGTTGAAATTCATTGAACTTCACTCTCTATCTGTATGTGAACTTCATGATTCCTTCCAGTTGTGAATTTCCACTAAAACAGACTTTTTTCCTTCTTCCAGCTGTAATTTATTTCGGTGGTCGAAGAGAAGGTGAGAGCTGGAACTGGGCCTGGGTACTGAGTACAAGACTGGCAAGGCACATTGGATACTTAGAGTTGCTTCTGAAACTCATGTTTGTCAACCCACCAGAGTTACCAGAGCAAACCACTAAAGCTTTGCCTGTGAGGTTGGTTATTTCACTTGCTTAGTCTGGAATGAAAAATTCAGATTCGCTCTGGCGCTTTCCAGACTGTGTGTATTAATGTGTGTGCATATTGTCCTGTGTAAAGCTGTTATGATTCCTGTTGGGAGAGCAGCCATGAAGGCTGATGCAAGTAAATTCTTGACGGTGTAAAGATCAAGAAACTACTCTGTCAAATTACTGTTTCTACTCTGTGCCAATGTCAGTGGAAGGTACTGCTTTTTGGTGGTGATGTGTGGTTGTGTTGTTGTTTGTTTGTTTGTTTGTTTAATTTGTGACAGAGAAAGTAAGAAGTTAGTAGTGGGCTATACCAGGGAGTTATGCTTGATGCTTATTTCACTGATTATTGTTGCTAGGATATCTTTTTAAGATCTTTTTTGTTTTCTTGCAAGTAGAGCATCAAGCTGCTCAAAGCTTGTAGCTTATTGTAAGCCACAAAAGTTAAACTGTGTTTTGTGGTTTTGTATACTGCTGTCGTTTAGAAGCTGTTAATTTAGCCCAGTGGTGCTTTTATGTGATGTTCTTCTGTATGTTTTTTAATCTGCCATGAATATTTGATAAATGTCATAATGTGACTTCAAAAGTACTTGTTGACATTATTCTCTGGGGTTGTGAAGATATTTTTGTTTTTTACTGCTGTCTGAGCTGCCATTATTGCTGTCTTCGTTTTTATCTTTTTTAATAAGTTTTAGAATAGGAAGTGGGCCAAAAAAAGAAGTTGATAATGGGACAAATAAGTACGTAATTTTATGTTAGAGATTTAAGAAAAGAAGTATTTTAAATGTTTTCCCACTTGGATGGAAAAACCAAATAAAAGAAATCTTTCAGCTACTGATATGCAGGAAGATTTTTGCCTTGGTGATTTAAAACTATTTCAAGCTTTCCAAAGTATTTAACATGTATGGTTTTTTTTCTCTTTCAGATTTTTGTTCACGGACTACAATAGACTGTCCAGTGTAGGTGGAGAAACTTCATTGGCTGAGATGATTGCTACCCTCTCTGATGCATGTGAAAGAGAATTTGGTTTCTTAGCAACAAGGCTATTTCGAGTTTTCAAGACAGAAGATACGCAAGGTTTTTATTACCTGAGTGGCATTTCTGATTATACCATTTCAGTGCACCGTTATTAGGGGTTCTGTTCCTCATAGGAGAAGCTCTTTTTAGAAACTGCTGTAATCATGCGGAAGGAGAAATTCTCTTCGTTGTCTTGGAGAGAAAAATGCTCTGTGTTCTTTGTTTATCTTGATTTTATTAACAAATATGGTAAGATGAAATGAAGTATTCTTACTTGATCCATGTGGAAGAAACTTTTTCTGTCCCATCTGCAGATTGCTGAAAAAAATATGCAGAACAGCGTATGATGTTGTGAGGTAAAGGGGAGTTTTCAGTTTGTAGAAAACTTATTGCTGCTTAGAGTTCAGTTTCTCCTCATTTAGGCTTGAATGTATCACACAGAGGAATCTCACAGATTCCTCTCACAGGAATCTGTTGTCCTTAAATGAAATATTTCTTTTATATTCTTCAGGGTGGAAGACACATCCTGTGCGCCAAACACAACTTGCTCTTTGTTATTCTTTCATAAATTCACTGTATGTTCTTCATCAAACTGTTGCATGGATATTTTTTTTTCTCCCTTATTTCTGTGTTAGACATTCTCTAGTTTGTCTCCTTCGTTGAAGCTCTCCTTAACTTCAGCTTTTATGGTGCTGTAATTTCACTGAAAGCAGGGTTTGATTTAGTGCTGGTTCTTGTGATAAGCTGCAGTAATTGCCCATTCCCCTTCACCTGTCCTACCTTAGTCTTGTGTTCTTTGGCTCTGCTGCCTTCTTGTGCTCTTTATTTGTATTTGATCTGTATTTGATCTTACAAAACCTCTCCAAGTCTCTAGATGTTCACAGACATTCCATATGGTTTTCTTTTCCTTATCTTTAACGTCTGTTATGTCTCTACACTTGCAGACACATTCAGTTGCCATTTCTTTGTTGATTTGTAAGTCCCCCTGTAATCCATTCCTGTCTCTTTCTATTTAGAGGAGTCTTACATCCCTACTTATATTCACTTCTACACATCTTTATCTGAGCCGTCATTCTTTGCTTCTTGCCCTTCAGTCCTGTCATTGTGCATTTCTGTTGCTTTGTACTGCATCACAAACCTGTCATCTCATGTCAGTAATGGGAAAGACCTTTCCAGCTTAAACCCGGGTCTAGAGTGTAGTATATGGTCTGAAATTCTTTCAGAATAGCTTTTTTTCATTGAAGTTCAAATACGGATTTTTATTTTTCTTTCATTGTTTTCTGTTAGACTATTACTGTATTCTGTTCTTTGACATGGACAAGTGTTGAATTTCCCTGCTCATACAGTTCCCAGAGGCAGAAGGTGCTGTTTTGGTTAAAACAAACAAAAAGCCTGTTTCTTAAATTGCTAGGTCTGCTGATCCAACAACTGCCGTGTTCTCTTGTCTCTTCCTTATCAACCCTGGATAAGTCAGCCTTCTCTGAGCTCTTGTGATCATCTTCTCTTTATGTACTCTGTATGTGTTAGCATGCAGAAAAGGGTGAGCCTAGAGCTTCAATCTCAAATTGTGGCTTGCATTTTTGAGTCATTTCTCCAATGGAAATGTTATTGGGTTACCTAAAGATTGGATTTCTGTTCAAAACCAGGTAGTTACTTCACCATTTGCCTAGAACTTGTAGAAATACACTTAACTGAGGGATGTCATAAAAGGGCTGATACTACTGGTGTGAAAGCTGCTTAATGAAGGTTGTTTCAATCCAGTATGGATTTCTTGAAACAAAATGAAGGTTAAAAATTCTCTGCTTTATGATTTCCAAGATTTTTAGCAAATTTAGGTGATTTTTTTTTTTTTTTTTTTTTTTTTTTTTTACTTTGTAACTGAATTGTAAAAGTGCACTAACCTTTGGTGCAAATTATTGTAAGAGGTGTGCAGGATAATATATTACGAATTTACCTGTAATGACATCGTATGTTCATTGTAACAGCAAATACTTGTTTTCTAGGTAAAAAGAAATGGAAGAAAACATGCTGTCTCCCATCCTTTGTGATTTTCCTGTTCATATTGTCTTGTGTTGTTTCTGCGGTTGCCCTGCTGGCGATTTTTAATGTAGAGCCAACCAACATGACAGTGAATGCTATTCTTATCTCAGTCACGTGTGTTGTTGGTTTGGCCTTTATCTTGAATTGTCGCACGTGGTGGCAAGTGATGGATTCAGTTTTGAATTCTCAAAGGAAACGTCTTCACCATGCTGCCTCCAAGCTTCACAAGCTGAAAAGTGAGGGATTCATGAAGGTAAGTGTTTGTGTGAATTAGCCTTTAAAAGATGTGAACCCAACCCTCCCCAACTTACTAAACATTCTGAAGGTGAGCAACCAAGGCTAAGGGTAATTTGTTACTTCAAAGCAGAGCATGCTGTGCTGCTGTATATTTCAGTGTGACTGGAAGAATGAATGTTTTGGAAGAGAGATTTCTAGGACTCTTGCACTTCTGGGAGGGATTCCAGTTTTTATAAGCATTTGTTTTTGTAAACTTACTGAAGTATTTTTGGGATAAGTAACAATCTGTCAAAGAAATCAGGTGCATTTTTTTGAGATTTAAGTGTTATAATAATGTCTTTTCCTTCTCTGCTTTTCCTTTTTTTTTTTTTTTTTCCTTAGGTTTTGAAATGTGAAGTTGAGCTGATGGCCAAAATGGCAAAAACCATTGACAGCTTCACTCAGAATCAGACCAGACTTGTTGTAATTATTGATGGATTGGATGCTTGCGAACAGGACAAAGTTTTGCAAATGCTTGATACTGTGAGTTGGATCATTATACAGAGATGAGCTCTGGATTCTCTCTTCCAAAGATGATTCAGATTCATCCACTTATTGCATTTTCTTTAGAATGAAAGCCTGTATACAGAGTCTCTGTTGTGCTGTTATTATTTTTAAACGTTTGTGTGCAGAAGCATAGCTGTAACACTAAGAGGAGCAGCTTTCAGAAGTTGAAAACTGCATCTTAGTGGCACTGCACATGTTTGTAAGTGTGAATGTTTTGAAATCAGCGGGTGCTAATTATTAGAAAACTGAGATCTTTTTGAAACAAACTTACATTGTTTGAAGAGGTTTGGGTTGTTTCTGAAGTACTTCAGACGATAAATACTTACAGGTTAAGTATTTCAGGGACTGTGACATTGCTGCATAATGTTTTCTTGCTAATGACTTCTGTTTTAAGTGCTTCTGCTAATGTGTCGTGTATGGATGGTATGTCCATAGATATGTCATATCGAAGAAACTGACATCTTTGTCTGTCCCTGGTTCTCTATCTAGGACAGAGTATAAAATGTTGAATCAGATGTTCAGATGACTGAGAGTATAAAATGTTGAATCAGATGTTCAGATGACTGACACTTAATACTGGGCTTACTGTCTCCTTTCTTACAGGTGCGAGTCTTGTTTTCAAAAGGCCCATTTATTGCTATTTTTGCGAGTGACCCACACATAATTATAAAAGCTATTAACCAGAATCTCAACAGTGTTCTACGTGACTCAAACATAAATGGACATGATTACATGCGCAATATAGTCCATTTGCCTGTTTTTCTGAATAGCCGAGGGCTTAGTAATGCAAAAAAACTGATGGTAGCTTCGACAACCAATGGGGATGTTCCTTACACAGATAATGCAGGTAAAGTTATGCAGGAGAATAATGCTGAGGTTACAAAAACGGTGGTAAAATCTGTTTCCTGGAACGAGCTAATTAAATAATTTGTAGATTATTGATGTTATTTTATAATGCAGTCACATGCATACGAGTGAATAACAAAAGAAAATGCCTTTTGTTGTTTTGTTTTTGGTTTGTTTTTTTTTTTTACCTGGTAGGATTGCATGAAGAGATTGACAGAAGAGTTTCTCAGAACAGCCTTGGGGAGATGACCAAGCTTGGCAGCAAAACAGCTCTCAATAGGCGGGTGAGAGATGTTATACTAAATGGTCCAGTACTGGTGATAGGGTTTTTCTTTCTTATTCTTTTCTCATTTTCTTTCATGTATTTAATGGCATCAACTTTGAAGACTTGTCAAACTATTCCTTGGAAGTTAGAATGTATGATCTGTATAGGAGAACTATATTCCTAAATCAGCAGACTGATTTTTTTTTTTTTTTAATCAAAGAAGAAAAGCTGTGCTTGTTCACTGAAGTGTTCTTTTCCACAAAGCTTTTTATATTCAGAAACTGGTGGAATGTTTAAGCTTTCTATGAATGCTGAAAGATACAGCATGCTATTTATGTGTTACATCAGATGTTATGTACCTAAGTCAGTTAAATTCAGCTAAATATTTTTATGGTATTTCAGCCTCACAGTTGTATTTACTCACAGGGTTTTTAACTTGATATTGAAGTAAAATTTATTATTTCAGTTTCAAATACCTAAATTACTTTGTTACCTATCAGTACTTCCTGCTCTTGTGTGTCACCATCAGGATACTTACCGAAGGCGCCAGATGCAGCGCACCATTACTCGCCAGATGTCCTTTGATTTGACCAAGCTTCTGGTTACAGAGGATTGGTTCAGTGATATCAGTCCTCAGACCATGAGAAGATTACTGAACATAGTTTCAGTGACAGGTAAGCGTTGCACTTGTTTTCCTGTGGCATGAAGGCAAATGCCAGCTTTTTTTTTTTTGGAAGGACTCTGTTGTTTTACTTGTTCCAGGCTTTGTGTTCTGAACGTTTGAGTAGGAAGTACTGTAGAGGATAACCTTTATTCAGCAGAAACAAGTGGAATAAATAGTATTACCTGTATAGGACTAACTGGAAAACTTCAGGGATTCGTGGATCTATCAGATGTGTTGTCTTAAATATTAAAAATATTTTAACACTACTTGACATCACAGTTATTATGGGAAATGTGTTAAGGGACCTCACCAAATGATGAATGGTAGTGTGCTGTACAGATAGATAACTAAGTGAATAGTAGTGTGTGTTGAAGGAAAAGGGCACTGTTCTTGTGTTTTAACAGTCCCAGTATTAATCAGAGTATTACAAGTTCTGAGTTAAGTTTGAAAATAGGATTTCTAAGCTTAGCATGCCTAATGAAATTTGAGTGCTAGGAAGACTGATACTCTCCTATCCTACTAGCAATACTAACAATAAAGTATTATGTTTAGTGACCTGTCTTTCTAGGGTAACATTTAATGCTTAAGTAAAGAAATCTTGCACTGATCTAATTAATAGAAGAGTCTCTCTTATTTTTCCTGTTGGTCTTTACATCTAGAGATGATTTATGTGTGAAAACAGAGCTAAAATTCTAAGTACACCATCTCCTCACACTGTTGTTATTGTTGGCAAATTTTAGTACAAATGTGGAAGTACAACAAAATCACAAACTTAGATATTTGTAGTAATAAAATACTGTAAAAACAAGCAGAAGATACCCTGGAAGAAAACTTTGTGCAATAATTTGTGATTATAAACGATGTCATGAAGCACTCCAAGAGCAGAGCCTTCAAGCTGTACATTAAATGTCATCTCACCAATAGGAATGCAGTTCTGGAAGGAAAAGTTGCTAAAACTTATTAACTTGGTTCACTCATCCTTTTTCTGTCTTCTAAAATGAGCTTTATTTGTAATTCATACCTTGTCTTATTAACTGAAAACCATTTTTTATTCATAGCTTTGAAATTCACTTCTTTTACTGATAAAGATGGCAGTTCTGGTTATTTCTTCTGACTGTGTTTTGTATCCCAGTGCACAAAAGATCTTTCACCACATTAGCATGAGTTTTGTGAACTTCTGTATTTAATTTTGTTGAAGTTTACCTGTAACAGAATGAGAACATCAACTTCAGCTCCAAGCTAAAAGTTATAATACCGGAAAGTACTTAGGTCAGGATGAGGGACATAAGGACATACATAACTGTTACTTTAGAGGGAAGGGAGAGGTTGAGGAAGGTATCTTTGGAAAGGGGGAAAAAAAAAAAGAAAAACCAGCCAACATAAAAACACCTGTGTTTCTTTTTTTCTGTTTTATTAGGTCGCTTATTGAGAGCAAATCAAATCACCTTCAATTGGGATAGGCTTGCTAGTTGGATCAATCTCACAGAGCAGTGGCCATATAGAACATCGTGGCTCATACTGCATCTTGAAGAGACTGAAGGTGTTCCAGATCAACTGACTTTAAAAACCATCTATGAGAGGTAGGTGGATGGTATGTAGTTTGAATGATTAAAATAATCATTGTGAATGATTATTGGGGTATTGTGGCTTTCAAACAGCGACGCAGTTGTAATTGAGAATTCCTACGGTCTAACTCTCCTCTGTTAACTTCTGGCTACTTGTAAAATGACTTTCATCACTATTTAATGCACCATGTATTCTTTGTGTTAAAACCAAAGGAATAGTATACTGGAATTCTTTTACAGGTAACTGTATGTTTGTTTCTTGATCTAACTTTCATCTCTACAGTGGTCAAGCTAAGTTTATCTAGTTAGACTTCAGCGCAGATTCTGGTTTCTACAGACTGCCTTTACTCAAAAAGATCTCTGCAGTTTTGGTGCTCTGTTAATGATGTGCTCAAGGATGTAGTATTCTTTTTACAGAAGTTAGAGTGTGAAGGTGGAATGCGAGCTCTTTCTTGGTCACTGATGCAAGTTGCTGTCTGTAAGTGCTCCATATTGCTTCTGAGAGCAAGAGGTGTTTCCAGTGAACGTGCCTGTCTGGATCTGCACTGCTTGTGTGAAAGGAAATGTGGATAGTGAGAAGCGACCTGGTGGCAGTAGGATGGTAGAATTGTCATTTTCTGATTGAATAAGATGACAAATACTGCAGTCTCTTTATTTTTAACAGATTTTCAATTCCAGACCAGTTGGTATGAGAAAAATCTGCAGAAGTACAGATAATGTCTCATATCAGACATTTTTCTTTAATGCTACTGAGGGAAAACCTCAGCTGTCTTTCTTTTTAAAGTTATGAAACAGATTTAAATTAAGCCATATTAGGGCCAAACTGTTGGATGATTGTGTCCTGAGAAAGAAATGCAGTCTGTGCTACTATTTCTGAAAGATTTTGACACTGTATCTAAGCAAAACTTTTTTTTATGGATACAGATTCTTCAGCTTTTTTTCATTCCTTGTCACCTGCATCAAGGGAAGGTCAGGCTGAGCATTAGGAATAGGTGCTTCACCAGAGGATGGTGGGCATGGAACAGGCTCTGCAGGGCAGTGGGCACAGCCCCAAGCTGCCAGAGCTCTTAGAACACACTTGTATGTAGGATTTTGGATGTACATTTAGATTTTGGGTGGTCCTTTGTCTTCTTTCTTCCAGCTTAAGATATTCTGTAATTCATTGCTTAACAGCAGAGGATATTGTCAAGTAATTGTTATTGGGCTTCTGCTGACAGCTTTGGAACAACTTTTTTAATCGCACATTATTTAGTCTGTTTCATGCAATCCCATTTGTACTGGTAAAGAGTAAACATGGGAGATTCTTACTCTGAAATAAATATGTTAGCACATCCTTTTCATTAATTCAAATTCCAGTTTATTTCTTCACCCTGTTGATGACTTGCACATGCTTACTTAACTCTCTTGCTTGAGAGATCTTAATCTTCATATTGAGTTCTCTTGTAGCGAGGCATCCATTAGGATGTTGGGATATTATTAATCTCTTAGGAGGTATGTTATTTTCCTAGAAAGCCTGTATGAAGTCTTTGCATTAATAGCTACAAACATATACCTGAAGTTAGTTTGAGGTTCTCATTAGTACCCTTTGATTAATTAGCATCAGCAGTACTAAATCACTTAGGAGTGAGCAAAGTCCAGTGCTGTCTTCAAGAAATACCAACCTGTTTGATGTTTCTGAGGAGCTGAAGGGAATATTAGAGACCTGAATTGTTCTCAAAAACATTTACTAGTGATTCCAGTGTAACGTGAAATCTGTAATAAACCAACTTAAGAAGGAAAGAACAGGCACGACTGAATGCGGAAGGCTTATTCTGGTTCTGGATTATTAGTTGTTAGCACAGACACTTGAATGGTTGCCAGTGTCAGGGGTTATTAGTTCAGCGTGGAGAAGATGCATGAAACCTACCATGCAATTTTGCCTCTTGCAATGCGAAGCACATCTGGAAGTAGTATTGCCACTTGAGTAGCTTGCAGATTCGTAATATAGGCATTAATAAACTTATTTTTAAGTTTATGGTGTTTAAAGGGTCTGTAATGTGAAGCAACAGTGAAGAACCCTGTGCCATCTCTTGGCTAAATCAAACAAAACCTGCCATGTGCTGAGCATGAAAAGGTCTATGAGCTCTCCTCTTGGATTACCTGAAGCTCTGAAACTTCTGTTTTATTCAAAGTAATCCTGTCAGCGTATAGCAGTGTATTACTGCTCTTCAGCTACAACTGTTTGAAGTAATTTGGCTTGAATATCTACTCCTGTATCAATTCAAAATAGAGTATTTAATTTAGCTCCTCTTTTAGAACTTCAATCTCTGTTTTCTTAGGTTTTCTAGTTGGTGGAACAGCTTTCCCATTTGGAGTGCCATGAATAGATACCAGATTTCTGTACTTATATAACTTCTACTCCTGTACTGAGTGCTTGTTACTTCTTCCCTGGCTTTTATTCTGGAAGGAGTTTGAAAATGTTCTGGTGCTTTAGAACAGGAACCAGAACATAATTTTCCTAGCATTGGATAGTTTGCATCAAAATGCTTTCTTACTGTGGCAGTGCACATTTTCTTTGGTTTTGATGCGTTTCTGAGCTGTAAGTGCGTGAGGAGAGATGGACACCTCCTTTGAAGATGGCAGTTTCAGAGATTCCTTTTTATATGTGGAGTTTTCAACTTGGTGGTTGCTTCCCCCCATGTGAGGGCTTTGATGGCACAGTCCTGTCCAGCATTAGGTCTCCCTTACAGTGCCCTCAACTGAAGTTCACAGAGTTGCAACAGGTACTTCAGCTGTGCACTGAGGGTATGACGAGAGGTGACAAACCCACTGTACAGCTGCTGCACGGCTGTTTCTGGAGGCAGGCAGCTCCCAGCTGTTCCCCGCCAGCAGTTGGTGCCGGCAGGGGGCGCTCGCGCGGTGCTGTGCCTGGCTCATGGAGCTCTGCGCTCAGGTACAGCATCACGGATCTTTTCCACCAGGTGCTTTGTTTTTCAGTGTCGATTCAAAGAATAAGCAATGCAGAAGGTATGGCTGAAATGAAAAGAATCAAGTAGTTGAGCGTCAAGAAATGGAAGAATAAAGTAGCCTGCCTATGCAGTTTGCAGATAATGTAGTAAAGGGAGAGCCGTCTGCTGTCACATCGCAGTGCTGTCTGTTACAGTTACACAACACTGAACTAAGACAACTGAAAGCTGTTCTAGAACTATTCATCAGTTCCTTAGTGAAGCTAAAGTGGTCACCTCCTGTACCTTTCACTTGGGTAGTGCTGTGCCTCTGCTGGCTGCTGGCAGCACATTGCAGGCTAATACCTGCGAGTGCTGAGTACTCAGAGCAGTGCAGGAGCCCGGAGCTGCAGTGTTCCTGGGGGAGAAGATATCAAATTGATTTTTGAGTAAATATACCTATAGCTCTTTGATTCCAGATAAACTAATACATTCTTTTCATGAATGATTGCTAGAGAATAAATTTGCTAGTGCGTTTTCTGTAGGTACTATGTAGACTGATGTGAAGGACTACTAATTAGTATCATGCTGTTGGGAGTAATGTGTCCTTACTGTCCCATACTTCTCAGAGATGGTAAAACATCAGATATTGCACAAGCAACGTTTTCCTAGGATCTTCTTAAAAAAGAAAAAGAAAAAAAAAAAAAAAAAAAGAAAATGAGCATCACTTTGCAATGTCTCTGTGGGCAGACTTTGTGAACTGATGCTGTTTGCTTATCTCCTAGTAACAGGTAGACATTCTGTGTTATAGTTCCTTCTTTAGTAGATGGAAATAAGCCCATGCTTTTCAATTATGTCAAATTTTGAAAACACATAGTAAGTCTGCATTGTTCACTCTTTGTCTCCAGATTCTGGAAAAAATGTCTTTAATCTTCGTGCTTTCTTTAACATGCCGTTTCATCTCTCTTGTGTCCTCTTATTTGCCAGCTTTTCTCTTTGCTGGTATGGATCTCTTTGTTCAGCCTTCTGGTTGGTATACTTAGTAGCACCAGTATTTACTCTTTAGAGCTTGGCTGTTGCCTTTCCAAGTGTTCTTTTGCCAACAGGTTTTTCATGCAGCCTTTCTCCTTGCAGGGTTAAGCTCCCTATTCTGATTTCTCATCTATTGTGTCCTCCTTTCCCCTTGGTGTTCACGTTGATCTGTGATCATTAACTGTGTCTTTTGTCCAGCTCTGGTTTCATTCATTTTATCATGTTCTTTTTGCATTCATTATTGTAGCATACACTTAGTATTTGTCTCTATTTATGTTGTGCTGAGTTCTCTTCTGTGTTACTGTAGAATCTTCCTAATGTCAGTTCTGTGTAATGCCAAAATAGCTTGTAGAAATTTCAGAAAGCAAACGTTTGTAACCCTGAAGGGGAGCAAAATCCTTGAGCGTTCTGTAAATGAAGTTGCCACAGTATTAAGTTGCCAGATTAAAGCAAGTTTTAACTGAACATTTGCAACTGATACTTTTCACACTTGTAAACTAGCCAGCAATGGGAATGTGCTGTTGTGAAGACTACATAAAATATCCGTGACACTAGAATGAATATCAGTGCCAGATCTAAATAAAGGATATATTGGGAAAAGCAGAGTGGCTTTTGAAGAGAGAAGATATTTTTCAAGAGTATGAGTTTTTCAACAGAGTCAATGAACATGTGAAGAATGTGATGTAATGTCTTGAAGTATCAGAAGTTTTAAGCAAGATCCTGAGAACATTCACATGTATTAAAACTTAGGGTAATTGCAGGCAAGATTGCTTGAGGAAAGCAGAAGAGGGAAGCAAAAAGGAGGAGTAAGAGTCCCATGAGAAACTCCCTCTCTGACTGAGGGAAAAGATGCAATATGGAGATTTAATTGGGACTACCGTTTCACAGAGGGTTGCAGAAGTAACAGCGAGCAAATTGCAGATGCAAGTCATTGTGGATATGTCTGTCTTAACCTACTGGGGAGAATGATCTCATCTGTGAGGCTACTAATGTAGTTGTGGTCTGTGGATCTGCACCTACAAAGAACATTCACAAATTCATTGCTGACAGATGAAAAAA